GGGTCAGCCCCAAGGGCAAGGCACCACTTCCAAATCCCTTTGCACCCCTCGGTTTGCCCTCCTGGACCCCTCTCCAGCGTTGGCAGACCCTGTTTTCTGACTGAGCTCAGCAGGAGGTGCCACCAAGGTGCTCTGGGCACCTTGCTGGGGTCTGCAGGAGCTGAGGGGTTTTTGCATCATTTTTGTCTTTACACCAGGGTGTGACGTGCCCTGGAGAGGCCCCTTTTCCCTGAGCTTAGCAATAGTCCCACCCAGCTGTATTTTTGGCCTCACCAGGCCACGCTTAAGGTGAAACGTTGGCATTTCCCTGTGAAGTGTGTCCTTCATCAGAGAGGCAGCCCCAGCTGGGGCTCATGGAAGCCCCACTCCAGCAGAGTATATTGCCCTGGGAGCTGGGATGATGGAGCAATATACTTGGTGTGCTCAGAGTGCCTGGCTTGGCTGCATGGGGGGGTCAGGAAAAGGTGCTTCCATGGAGCAGGGACACCTGCCGTGAGCCAGGGCCCTCCCCACCTCCCGTCATGTCAAAGCCCGTGTCTGCCAGGGGGGTCCCGGGCTCTGTGTGCCCCCCCTTTGCCTCAGCATTGCCACCCCTGCCCCTGCCTCGCTGTAAGGCTGAGCACTGGGATGGCCAAAGCTCCAGGGACTGGCCCACACCTGGGGCAGTGTTGGGGGACTGTGCCAGGGTCCCACACAGCGTCTCCCCGGGGGTGGTCCCAGCCCTGCCCAGCTGTGGCACCTTCTGCGGCCTCAGAGGTACCAGGGATGTGTCTGAGGAGCAAAACAAGGGGCTGGTGTCCCCCTGCAAGCACTGCTGGGTGTGGCACCTGCACGGGATGCCCCGGGGGTTCATCTGGATGTGTCCTGGCAAAGGCAGCTCAGGAGGAACCTGTTGGCACCCCAGTGCTGGGGTTGAAGAGCAGTTGGGCCTCTCCCCTGTGCCAGGGTGAGGGGGCACAGCTGGCACTGCAGTGGCACGAGAGTCCAGCTGTGCCCAGCACGGGGCAGGGCAGCCTTTGACATGGGGACCCCCACCCCTGGGCAGGGGCACAGCAGGGATGGGGTGGTGGGAGCAGCAGGACAGGGAGCAGCCCCCCCAGCCCGGAGTTAGTGCTTGATCCCAGATCCTGGTCCTGCTGCCCCCAAACTGAGCTCCATCTGCTGGGATCATCAAACACCTGGTGTGCTCCAAGGCGCTTAGAGGAGCCTTTCCAAAAGAGGCATCCCAGTGACGAGCCTTGCAGTGAGCTGGTGTCCCTCGGTGCTCCTCCCGCTGCCCCGGCGTCCATCTGTCCGTCCCCTCTCCATCCTGTCCATCCACAGCCCATCAGCCCGTCTGGAAACCACCGTGTTCTCTGTCGCAGCTTCCCCCCACCCCGGCCGCCTGCAGCCTCGCACCCCCATCCATTCCACCATGATCTTGTTCTTGGCTATTTCGGGAAGCGCAGGGGCCCCTCCTGGCATCGTGGATGTCCCTGGGTGCAGCTTTTGGTGGCCCCAAACCCCCCACCCCCTCTCCCCGGGAGGCCACCGTGGTTTAGAGCCGGCCCCAAACGGCACCCACAGCTCTGAAACCCCACGGAGGCAAATTCCCTTGGGCAGGGGAAAGACCCAATCCTTGAATTAATCCTGTTGCTGGATTGATGCTAAATTGAGTAACTGAAGAAGGGGAGAGGTGGGCAGAGTGTTTATTTGTGTGGCCCCCGGGGTGGGGTTTGGCTGCCCTGACGCAGAGGTTGGACTCGTGCTGTACCTCACACAGCAGGACTAACCTGTTCCCTCTTTTGCACTGCACCAAGGTAAGACTTCTCACTTTATTTTGGGGGGGAGTGGGGACTTCGAAGAGTTACATCTGCCAGTCCCCTGGGCCGTGCCGTAGCGGGGGAGAGGCTGGGGAGGCGTGGAGGGAGGTGGCAGTGACGTTCTTGGTGCTCTCCCGCTGGCAGTGCCATCGCCCGCGGCTTTTCCCAGTGAAGGGACCCCTTTGCTGGGGGAGCAAGGGCCAGGACAGTGTCTGTCAGCATGTCTGTTGGGGTGTCTGCCGGGGTGTCCCTCCCTCACCAGCCCTTTCCCCTCCTCTCACAGATGAGATGAACGACCACCAGAACACCTTGTCCTACGTCCTGATCAATCCTCCCCCGGACACGCGGCTGGAGCTCAACGACATCGTGTAGGTGATGCCCCCACGCTCCTGTGGGCTCCCTGTGCCCTCACACAAGCCACAGTGCCCTGGGGCAACCCCCACTGTGTTGCTTTCCATGATTTTTCATAAATACCTGCAGGTTTTGGCTCCTTCCCAAGCTGTTCCCCCTCTCAATATTCCAGAGCCCAAATCGCTCCAGCCCCAGCTTTGCTCTGATGGGCAGTGTGGAGCTTTTCCTTCGGCTTTTGCCACCGTGCAGCTCCAGGAGGAACAACTCCTGCTTACTTCTTCTATTATTTCATGGCATTTATTTTAACAGCTATTATTATTTAACACCTATTGTTTGAACAGCTGCCGTGCTCTGCGAGCAGCAGCTCCCAGCATGACACCGTGGGGCACATCCCAGCCTCAGGGCTGGGCCAGACCCCAATTCTGGGGTCACACAGCTCCCTCCTGGTCCTGGGGGGCCGGGGGGTCCCAGAGGTGTAACCCAGCTGTGCCCTGCAGGTACCTGATCCGCTCCGACCCGCTGGCCCACGTGGCCAACGACGGCCACAGCCGCAAGAGCAGCTGCAGCAACAAGCTGGGCTCCAGCAACCCCGAGACGCGCGACGAGACCCAGCTGTGAGCGGCCCCCCCGCGCCCAGAGCCCCTGCCAGGGCCACAGGGCTCCGGGACAGGCGGCGGAGAAGAGGACGGGGCAGCCGGGGGGGCCGGAGGAAGGCCATGCCCAGCCTGGCTCTGCGCCGTGGGAGGGACGCCCGGAGCCCTGGGAGGGGCAGGACAGCCGGACAGACCCACGGCCGGACAGACCCACGGCCGGACAGACCCACAGCCAGACAGAGCCAGGGCCGGACAGAACCCCCAGCCGGCGGCAGCGCCCCGTGGATTTTAACTTTTTATACCGATACCGCAACTCGTGAGCGAGTCCGCGCTGGGGCCGGCAGGACGTGGCTGAGCCCGGTGCCCACCCCACCCCGGGGGCAGGGCTGGGTTTGGTGTCGCCCCACAAGGTGCAGGTTGGTTGCGTTGGGTGGGGCCGGTCAACCTGAGAGCAAAACTGCCCCAAAATCCTCCTCCCTGGGTCCCCAAACTTCTGCTCTCTCCCCCACCCCCTGTTCGTCGCCCTCCGTTGGGTTTCTGTGCCGGGCACTGGGAAGGACTGGCGGGTGCCGTGCTGGGGTGGATGGGATGGGGCGGTGCAGCCCCCACGGGTGCCATGGCGGGGGCTGCTCTGCCCTCCAGCACTTTGGGGTGTCTCACAAACCAAACCACGCCGAGCCCGGGTGACCAAAGCCGTGCTGTCCCCAGGGCAGTGCCTCCTGGCACACGTGCCCCGCCTGAGCCCCGGCTGCGGGCACGGTGCCCCCGGGTTTGTGTCCCCTGTTGCTGCTGCTGCTGCTGGGGGGATTCGGGGATCCTCGTCCTGGGGGTGGGATGGGGCACAGTGGCCAGGCCCACACATGGTTGGCTGTGCTGGTTTGATGTCTCAACTCAGCCCTTTCCCCTCCATCCAGGAGCAGTTTGGGCTCCAACCCCCTCCCCCCGTCCCCCAGTTTGTCCCGGTCGTGGCTTTTCATCCTTCTCCCGGTCCTGGATCGGTGACACCGTTAAGGCAGCGGGTTCTGCCTGTCCCCCCACCCACCATGACCCCCCAGCAGCTCCAGCCATCCCTGTTTGACTCCATCCCCCCCATCCCCGTGGCTTTGCCTGCAGCAGAGGTGCATGAGCGTCCAGCATCGCCCACCCGCGGGGACCCGGCGGCGGAGGAGACACCAGATGTGTCTCCCATCTATTTTTGCACACGTGGAAAGGGTTTATTTGCCTGCCAAGTGACTAACCAAGGCAGGGGTAACTTTATATACTTTTGTGTTCATATCTTAAAACTCCAGTGTGGTTTTTTTTTTTTGTTTTGCTTTGTTTTGATTTAACAAGAAGCCTGGAAAGCACAACGTGGCCGTGAAATCCCATCAGCAGCCAGCTGAACGGTTTGTTGCCATTAACATCCACTCCTTGCTCCCCAGGACAACCCCACTAAATGTTTACAGAAAAAAAAAAGAAAAAGCCAAAACCTGCTTAAAATGACAGTTTTAAACAGCTGGGGAGATGCCCACAGGGATGTGCTGCCCGTCCTGCCCGTGGCGCTGGGGGAGAATTGGGGATGCCCAGGGTAGGACCTGTGCCAAGGTAGGACCTTGAGAAGGTGTTGAGAGAGACCTGCTGTGCCTGGATGGGGTTTTGGTGTCCTATTTTTATTATTTATTGTGGTTTTTTTCCTAAAGTGCTGGTCAGGAGGCCCTGGGTGATGGCACATCCCGGGCTCGGAGAGGCACAGCAGGGAAAAGCAATGAGTCCAACCCTCCCTCTCCACTGAGCTCTGGGCACCAACAGAACTGTCTCAAATGTGGGTTTTTGGGTTGGTTTTTTTGCCTTTTTTTTTTTTCTTTTTTTCAGTTATTAATTTTGCATCTATTTGGTTAAGGCAGATCCATGTTTTATTTATTTCTGTTTGTAACTGGGCATGCCAAATCTGTCACTTTAAATTAAAAAAAACCAAAAGTTGGAAAGGGTAAAAAGGGGGAGGGGTTGAAGTATTAAAACACACCTTGGCTTTGTGTTGATGGAAAGCCTCAGGGTGCTCAGATCCCCCCAAAAATGCCTCATTGAGCATTTATATATTGAATTGTCTACATTTGAGACACAGAGCATTTTCCAAACCCCACGTTTTCAAGGGAGAGTGGAACAAAGCAGGGTCACAGGTTTAAAAAAACCAAACCAAATCCCAAATAAAACCACAGATGTGATTACCTGCATGTGTTTACTCAGAATATATGATTTTTAGGTGGTTTTTTTGTTCCACCTGCCTGCTGGGGCGCGGGACAGGGTGAACACAGTGCTGGTGGGGGTGGAGAAGCAAACAGAGCTCCTCAGCCAAACCCTCTCATTTCAAGGCACTTTAATTCCTTAAAAAAAACCCCTTTTTTACTTTAAATTACTTATTTAATTTACTTTAAATTGCTTTAAATTCCCCTCCCCAGCCCCGAGCAGCCAGCTCAGCCCTGGGGCCCCGTCCATGTTCCAGAGGCTCCCTCGGAGCGTTGGGTCCCTCTCTGGGCACACGAGATCCTTCCTGCCCCTTAAATTCCAGCAGATCATCGACCTGAGAGGAAACCACAAACCAAAAGGACTAAATGGTTTGTGATGCTGCCAAAACAGCCTCGATATTCCTGTGTTTTGGGCACGTCCAGTGTATAAATCCCGGGATTCAAGGCGGGAGCTCCCCATTCCCAGCCAAACTCCTCCTGGGATGGAGGAACAACCCCCTCCCTGTAGATAATTCACCCGTGGGCAAGGCAAGGGTGAGAACCAAGGGTTCATTTTTTTTTTTTTTATTTTTCCTAGTTCTTTAGCCTCAGTACTAATGTAAAAACAAAAGTATTTTATTTTTCTAACGGTCCTGCCAAGGTGGGAGTAGCCACGGGAGTCGTTTCTGCTGCCAAAGGGCTGGTCGGGAGAGGAGCACAAGGACCTTCCACGGATGGTTTTTTGGAAAAAAAAAACCAAAAAACCTGATTTTTCTGAAGGAAAATAGTTGTGCTCCAATGCAGAGGCAGGCCAGGCCCTGGGGAGCTGCAGGAACGAGGACAGCTGGGATCTTTCGGGGTTTTCCAGCAGCATGTTACGTTCAATATGGACTAAATCCATATATCCTGCATTAAACAAGTATTACAAGTATATTTATTTCCTGTTATACCCCTTTTTACTTAATCTCTCTGGAAAATGTTTGTATTCCGAGGTCAGCTCCTGCATGGATCTTGATTTTTTCAGCAGCAACAGCAGGTGAAACTCCTGTCTTTCCTCTCGGAGACCGAATTTTGGGAGCTGTTCCGGGACGCAGCCAAGGGGGGAGAGGGTTTTGTACAATTACTGTGAAGATGCTTCACATTTCTGTAAAGATAAATGAAAATAAAAGAGCTGCATGCAGCAACAGGACAGACTGCTGTTGGAATTTTTTAATTTTTTTTTTTTTTCCTGGGAGCAAACATCACTTTTTAAAATCCAGTGGCTTTAAATGAGCCTCAAATCGGCTCCTCCAAGCCTGGGATGCACCAAAAGTTTATTTTTCAGCCTCAGTTTTTAAAGCTCTGAATGCACAAAGGGCAGCTTAGGTTGCCTGGTGTGGTGCTGCAGCAGTTAAACATCATTTAATTAATTGATTTAATCCTAATTTTCTGTGATTTAATAAATGAATTCAATTTTGTGGGTATTTAACTGAGGGTTTGTTTTTTATTTTACTGATGTTGTGCCAGGATTCAGTGCCTGTTCTTCCACCTCCCAACACTCAGATATTTCTCACTGACTCCCCAGTTTCTGTTATTTCCAGTAAAAACCAAACATTTCTAGAACATACACAGGGATTTTAACCTGGAGATCAAATCCAGGGGAAGCAGAGAGCGCTTTTATTAAACATTTTAAACAAAGACTGTAAAAATCTATTTATTTAAAACCATACAGAAGGGCACAAACAATATCCCTCAAACAGGGAAGGGAATTCTGGGATTAACAGGTGGGAAAGCTGGAAGTGAATCAACCCAAGCAAGAAAAAATCCTGTTAAATCACTTCTTAATTATTGACTTTTAACAGGACAAATCTGGAGAGGGAGCACAAATTCCTCTCAGTTTTCCAGGACCAGGTGAATGACAATTATTGCCCCCAAAATCAGGTAATTTTAACACCACAACCAGCAGCTCTGGCTGCATAAAAAGCCCTTCCAGGCTGCATAAAACAGGATTTAATATTAAGTATAAAGGGACTTCTGAGCTTTTCAGCAGTGGGTTCTTCATCTTGCTGCATCTTTTCTTCTCTCTTCACCTTCCACAGTAAAAGAAGAGGAACCAACGCTGCAAAATGAACCAAAATCTGCTTTAAAACTCTGCCCCAGCTGGGAAAAAAAAAAAGAAAAATTAAAAAAAAAAAAAATTAAAAAAATTTAGCTCCTAACACTGGAAAATTCTCGTGGGAGAGAAAAATATCTGGAGCACTAAAATATACATTAAAAAACGTGCTGCTGGTGGGGCTGGGAAATGAAGGGGGAGGCGAAGCAGGGAAGGATTTTTTTTTTTTTTTTAATTTTTATGCTATAAATTGCTATAAATTTTCCAGTTATTCCCAGGAATGGACAAAAAGCAGGAAGAAAAGGGGGATTTCCTTTACCAAGGTTTCCATGTAAAAACAGGGTAATTCTGGGAGATTGGTTTGATTGAAGCCCTCCTTTGCAGTGCCTCGTTTGAATGGGAGGAAACGCTGTATATTGAATTTTTAATCATCCTGGCTGCACACGTCAGTTCAAGACACTTCCCCAGAGGGTTTGTTGTGGTTTTTTTTTATCTCCCCCCCTCCTCTAATAAATATTTTCTTTCTGAAGGAGTTCAGAGGGATGGGAGTAGAAAAACTCCTGACAGGATTTCAGGACTGAGATGAAAGGGAATTTAATGTTTAGCACAGACGAGGAAATAAAGAAATCAAAAATGTAATTTTTTTATTGGGATTAATATTTTTAATGGGATGTGACCACGTTGAGCACTCAGAGAGGGAAGGGGAGGGCATAAAAATGAGTCTTTGCATTTCTGGAATTTTAACTTTCATGCCATCCATCCAGGTTGGATTTTATGTAATTCAATTTTATTTGATATAATTGCAGCGAGTGAATATTGTATTTCTGTCACTTGTTCTCTCCAAATATTGAGGAACTCTCTGTTTGGGGATGAGAACAGCTAAAAAAAAAAAAAATAATCAGAATAGCCCAAAAAGCAGCATTTTAATTAAGAAATCTTTTCATTAATTTGACCTCCACTCAAAAAGGGACATTCCTGGAGGAATCTTCCCATCCCTGGAAGTGTCCAAGGTTTTTAAAATTGTTTTTTTTTTTTTCCCCAAGGAGAGTTGAACTTACCACTCAGGAGAGCAAAAATGCCCCTTTTCACTCCCTCACTGGAAACTCAAAATCTTCAAATCCCCCCCAAAACCAGCCCTGCAAGAGAAAGCTCAGAAAAATCAGATTTTTTTTTTCAGAATAATTTGATATTGATTATGTTGCCAAACAAAAATCAAAGAAAATAATTATTTATTTTTTTTTTGTAGTCACTGCACAGTGGGAGATGCTCAGTGCCTGAGGGGTGATCTCAGATTAATTGGGTGATATATTTACTTTTCATGGTGTGGAAATTCCTCCTGTAATTCTGGTATATTTGTCCTGATGATCTGGGTAAAATTTATGTGTTTTTTTTATCAAAAAAACAAGGCAAATTCACCCTTTTTTTTTTTTTTAGTTTCTGAAGCACTTGAGGTGGATTAATCAAAAATAAAGCTTATTTTGCCCTCTCATAGTGGAAAATCTCTTAAGATACATTTTTGGCTGCTGCAACAAGATATTAAAGCTAAATTCATCCATGGAAATTTTAAATATAATATAAATTTAAGAACCAGAATAATTACAGAGGGGTGAGAATAAATAGATTTTTTTTTCCTCCCTTTTTTAATACTCAGGTTTCATAATATATAAAATTAAACAACAGAACATCTGCTCAACTTGAGGACAAGAATTCCAATTTTTTGGCTTTAATGGTGGTGTTCTAGACATCGAAAAATACACCTGAGTGGACCACAGGAATACCCCAATTTCAAACTGGCCTGAAGAATGTTCTGGAAAAGTTTTCTCTTACCAGAAGCACAGAAAAACATCCCCTTCCACCCCAAAATATTTCACAGATTTCTCCAGTTCTGCAGCAAAAAAAAATTGGTGTAAAAATCTCTGCAAAATCTTCTTTCTGATGTCCTTGGAGGCTGAATTTGCAGATTGGGCAGATCCTGAGCAGCAAAATCATATTTTGGGACTCACCCCCCTCCTCACCTGCTTACAAAATTAATTCTGTTTAACCCCCTAATTAATTGCAGAGCAGTTAATTGGGTAAGCACAGAAGGGGTGCTGCATTCCAGGTGTGCTCAGCAGGTCCCAAATTCCAGAGGGAAGGTGACACACCTTGTTTAAACAAGAAATTAAATAAAATACAAAGTGAGGGGGGTTGGGGTAGTTCTGACCCTGCCCCAGTGATCAGTTCTGAAGATTTGCTGGGGGGGGGGATAAAAAGCAAATAAAAAGCAAATTTTAGTCCTGAGAACTCGTTCATGTTATTTTTACTTTAAATTACAGCCTGAAATGGGGTTGTAGGAAGTGCAAACTCCAGGTTTCTACACCCAACTCCCCAGGGCAAGGGGGGGACAAAAATCAGATTTCTTTTCTTTGCACACTCAGCCTTTCCAGGTCTTTAAAAATAAGGCATTATTTTCCAAATTAAAAATTATTCTTGAACTCCTCCTCCAGCAGAGCGGGATGAAAATGAGACGAGGACACGTCAACCACGAACACAGAGCACAGGAACACAGACTGATGGATGGGCTTGGCAAAAAGAAACTGCACTGCACTTTAAAGATGTCCATTCTTGTACTGGTTATGTGGGAGAAATTAATTAAAAAAAAAAATCAAGATTGGTCAGAGACAGAGCTGCCACTTTCTGCTCCTCCCAGCAGAACCTCTGGGAGCAGCTGGAAGCTTTTTTATCCAAAGTTCTGCTGAGAGGGAACAACCCCTGGCTCCAGCTAATCCTGGGGAAATCCAAGCTCAACAAACAGTTTAAGCTGCAAGTCACCAAATTAATTAATTCTATTTATCTACAGGTGATTATTCTGTTTGTCCAGGGAGGGAACAGGTAATTCCCACACGTTTCACAGATTGATTGACACTCTGCTCTCCAGTGGCTCTGGAAGGACAGAATTCCATATTCTCAGCAGGGGTTTTTAGAGGTGACATCAGCAAACATCAGCATTGTCCCCTCAGTTCCTGGGGAAAGATCAACCTCATTCTTCCTGCACGTGGTTTTCAGTCATTAAAAGTGAAGGATTGACCGTGATGTCACTAAAACCCCAGTCAGATTCCATAAAATCAACCCCAAAATCAGCACTAACAAAGCTCTGGAGTCACAACCCCCTTTTCCCTGACACCAAGCAGGGAACACACACACTGGAGCTGAAATTTGGAATTCTCCAAACACTTCTGTAAGAAAATACCTCAATTTCCCTTCCACAAAACACTGCCTGCCTTTGCCTCCTCACAGGGACAGTTTGCCCACATTCCCTGCACATTCACCCCCAAATTCTGTCCTGTTCTTACAAGCTTCTCTCTCTCCCTGTGTTCAGATTAACACACTTTATTCTTTATTCCTTGCCAAAGTATTTCAGATTAATGGGGATTTTTTTTTTTCCCCTCAAAGATTAAATTTCAGGTAGTTGAATCACTTAGAAAAATCACCACAATTCTGCCACTGACCACACAGATCCAAATCCCACCAGCAGCCAAATTCAAGAGTCTGAAGACTCATGGAATAAATCCTTCTGAGGAAATAAAAGGCCTAAACTATTTCCCAGTTTTCTGAAAGCCTTTTGTTCCAGTCCTTGCACACTGCAAGCAGGGTCAGGAGAAAGAAGCTCTGGTTTCAATTATTAAATTAATAAATTATTACAGCTCCTGCCAGGTGAAGTTTTACTGAAGCAGAACAGCACATCTTTAAAGCATTATTAGTTCTGGGAGGGGATGGATGTTGTCACACCAACAAAAGTACACATGGAGTAAAAAAAGGAAATCAGTTAATGATTTTTATTAAATTTCAGTGTTTCATAAAATAAATATGGTTTATAATATCAAACAGTGAGAAATAAAGCACAAGCATGGAAAGCATGGTAACAAAAGTTCCACTCATGACGGTGTTTAATACTCAGCACTTTTAGAAACCATAAAGCCTTTAATTATTTACAAGCAGCAAACTATCCAACATCATTTACAAAGTTGCAGCAGCCTAGTCAGGGTTGTCCTGGAAGGAGGGGAGGGAAAACATGGAGAGAGCACTCTGGAAGATCTTCACTTGGCCCTACCTACCCAGCCCTTCATCCCAATTCCCACTCTGTGCACAAGTCTCTGTAATTCCATCATCTCAGGGGTTCACAATTCCACTGGCTGGAGTTCAGAGCTCCTCTCCAGGATGGTGCAGGGCCTTTCTGCCCTCCAGGGACACGAATTCAAGTAACACTTGCAAAGGAAAGGGAAGATGTGCAAACCAAATCAGAACCTCCCCGACCCCACGGGCGGTCGCGTCGGACCCACGGAGGGGCAGATTAAATTAGGAACCTGCTTGGGAACCAGCTGGGGCCAAGGGGGAGACATGGGAGGACTAAAATAAAAAAGAAAATAAAAAAAAGGAAAAAAAAAAAAAAAAAAAAAAAAGGAACTGCAAATATATATACCCTGTTAACCACAGACAAAAATTTAATCTGCTGAAACACAAAGACTTTTAAGGTCATAACTCAAGATTTAATATTTCAACATGAAAAGAAATCCAAGCCATTCGACTTATTTGGGCTTTTGAAACAAATGCAAATGTCTCTGTTTAAAAATCGCTTTCAAATGAGAAAAACAAATCAATATATATTAATATATCACCCAAAATAAAAAACATAACACACTCTTCATTGTAGAGCATGCTGCTCATTCAGAAGAAAGACAGGACAAAGAAAGTAGAATTACATTTCATGATGTAATAAAAACATTAAAATCTGTGATCATTAAGTGCACCATCGTACAGGAGTAGCGTGCTCAGAGTGGAAATGTTCTATACCTACCAGAATCCACCTTTATTAAAGCAAACAAATCTTTAGGACACTACCTGAAACTGAAATCAGTAATCACTGTGCTCCATTGCCTTAAGCTGCAGTCAGGCACATTCCAGCTATAGCACCTGTTATGCCTCTTCATGATTGTATTCCAGAAGATCTTTACATGTGTGAACAATTATTTTTTTTTTTAATATTATTTTTTTTGTTTTGTTTTAGAAAAAAAGACTGGCTTTTGCAATCCTTGCAATGCTTATCCTCAACAGATACTGCAAGTAAACTCTGTTCTGAGCAGCACAAGTTGGGGGCTTTTTTTTCTTTCAGGAATCTGAGAGCTGGACTTTAACAGTTGGCAGTAGATACAGTACAACAACTGGATGTATTAAACAGTTCCTCAAAAAAGTCTGAAAGGAAGATTTTCCCTAAAGACTGGTTTAAAAAAAAAAAAAAAAAAAATTAAAAAACCAAAAACCAAACCCAAAGCACTTCACCCAAGATCTGTTCAATCCTCCTACCGCAGTTCGGAGCTCGCCAACTTTTGGGAACGACAGGAGAAGAAAGGAGGGAATGAGGTGGAGAGGAGAGAGAATTAAATTATTCCCAATTTGTACCGATGAAAAGCTTCAAGTAAAAGGAAATCCACTTGTTAAAGATCTTGCTACATGCACACAGTCCCCTCGTCAGCTGAAAGCCACAGTAGTTATAGCATTGGGTGTAACAGCAGGTTGATCATTCCTAAAAAACACTGGCAACGTTCCTTCATCCTCAAGAACTCACATCCACCGTCCCTGTCCCGAAGCTTCTTAAAAAGCGTTTATGGTTCTGCACTTCTCATTCCAGACCGGAGGAAAATGGTAAACACATCTTCTCTTGCTGCAATCCCAAGCCAGCAGATCCTCTTTCCCAGGGAAGCTGGGTGTCATTTCCGAGTCTGGCTCTTCTTTGGCACTGCGGGTCGCTTGGCCTGCCACAAGTGGTTATGGATCGTCAGGGCGTCCACGCTCACGGACATGGTTTTGGCTGGGATCACGTTAAACTGTTTTCTGTCCGAGCTGTACTTATAGAGTTTGTCAATCATCTTCTTGGTGATGCTCTTTGGCCCCGTTCCTGTCAGCTTGTAGATCTCCTCCGTGTCGGGGTAGTAGCAGTAAAGTGCTCGGAACTGGCAGCCGGCGTCGCGGAACAAGATGATGTAGTGGTTGGCGTCACATTTTTCTAGTTCCTGCATTCCCAAAAACAAAAAAATGAGGGAAATTCCCATGTTATGCCCAGTTTCAAGCTTGCACTTAAGAGCTGAATAGTTGTTCTCAGTAACTCTGATTTTCAGGCCTTTTCTAAACTTAGGAACTGTAAATAGAGGATCGTGTTTTCCACAAGCCCCACAGTCACAGGAAGGGAAGGATCCTCCAGCACAGGCACATTTTAAGAAATGGAATTCATGCAACACACCAGTGGGACCACAGAATTAGCATTACAGACACATTTGGTAGTGAGGGCATTAATAATTTTCATGTTTACCTCTAATATTGAATTCTTGTGTGGTTCATTCACTTTTCCAGCAAGACAGCAGTGAGATATAGCGTTGTGAATAATAGGCTTGTTGGATTTGCTGCTGGGTTCCTTAAATAATTTTGGACCTAGGGAAGATATAAACGAGTAAAAATTATTTGTCCTGCACTTATGAACATTAATATTTTCATTCACAGTTGAAAAAACCCTCGTTTTTTTTCCAGAATGACTGACTTTTAGAGATATTAAACTGAACAAAATACACCTGGCAACTTCTCACAAGTCACAATGTGTCACATCAAACACACCACGGGGTTTTCTGGTATTCCTAACAAACAAACAAACAAACAAATAAAACAGGCACCTGTGTATTCTGCCACTGAAGCAATAGAAGATGCTGTGGAAGCATTTTCCCAGTCTCTCTCTGTGTTCCTGCTGGGATTTCTGCTCAGAATGGGTAAGGACTCCATTGATTCAACTCTGAGGGGGAGATAAAGAAAATATTTTATGCCAGAATTTTGGGTTTTGTCCCTCTTATCTCACATAAATTCAGCAGCTGCTGGCCCTGAGTGGAACAGGTTATTTATTCTCCCTTATCCTCCCCAGAAGAGCCTGATTCTCCCTGCGAGGTATCAAAGCAAGACTCTGACTCCTCTGGGAGAAAACAGAACAAAACTGCAGGTCTGTACAGAACACTGGGGTTGGCAGCCACATAAACCAGATGAATTCACCCATCCCTTCATGCCTCTGTGCCAGTGAGCTGCAGCAAACAGCACTGAGGCCCAGCTGCCCCCACGAGGAGTGAAGCGCAGCCCGGCCGTACCTCTGCGAGGGGGTGCCACCCGAGTGGACACTTTCAGGCTCAGTTGTTGCTGCTGAGGCCAAAGACAGACTGGAACCAGACTGAGCACTGCTCAAATTGTCAGCTGCAAAACAGAAGAGAAACTGTCAGGCACGTTCTGTTCCAGCACATCTGCAGATTGAGAGCCCACAACCCCAACCCCTTACGTGTGGAAGAGCACTTTGTCCCCGAATCGCTGTAAGACTCCTCACGATGGACCGACTTTGGCCTGGGTTTTTTGGGCTTGGATTTGGGCTTTCCAAGCCCTTGCTCCTCCAGAATTTGCTGCTGTTTTTTCCTCAGATACTCCTGCTTGATGAGTTCTCTCCGAGCCTTCTCCTCCTCTTTCCGTATCCGGTCCTCCTCGGCTTTGCGGCTGAAAGGCAAACGCACCAGAATGTTCAACGTGGAACAGTTTTCCTCATCCTAAAGATAAATAAAACCATCCTTTTCTAGGTGTCATTACCGAGCTTCATCTCTCTTCTGTTCCACCTCGGCCTCCAGCTGCTGTTTCCGCAGCCGAGCCTCCTCGGCTTTGCGCTGCTGCTTCAGCAGGAACGCCGCGCGCTTCTTGGCCAACTCGTCCTCTGCCTTCTGCTCATCCTGCAAAATCCAAAGGGATGCAGAGTTTTAGGGGATAGAAGATAATATGTGGAGCTGGACATCACAAGGATTTCCTCAAATCTCCCTGGAATCCTCAGCAAACATCAGTTATTACTTTTGGAAATCTTCACGCGGAGCGTAAAGCAGAATTTTATGTTGCTCAAGAAAAAATTAAGAGATGGTTTCAGTGCTCCCTGAAGTCTGTGAGGAGATAAAAAAGGGGCTCATCTTACTCTGACTTGGTTTTAAGTATGTTTAAAGATCACAAAACCTTCTAGGGCTGCAAAGTACAATGCAGCTCTCACGTGGGGCAGGATGGACAGCACAAACAGCCCAGTGGAATCATCATGAGATAACTTCAATCACACTATAAAAACCCAGAAGTTCAATTCACCGAGATTGAGACAGCCTAGTCTGACCTTCTTGGAAGAGAAATTAAAAGTGTCACCATGTCAGCACATTTGGGGTATTTACAATAATCACTGCCAAGCACAAATTAAGACACTAAATGTTCTGAGAGCAGTTCTGACCTCAGTGGAAGGAGCAGAAACATTATTTGAAGAACATCCAACCCAACAATGTAAGAAATACCACTGTGCTAAAGTCACAATAGCCTAACAACAACCCTCTCCCCAAGCCAGAGTCAGGTGTGAAATCAGAATAATTATTTAAATTTAATACTTATTGATCATGAGCCATTACAGGACAAAACCAAAAGCTGCATTTCTTCCACTGAATATCCTAATTTTTCATTTGCATCTACAGTTGTACAAGTAAATCCTCCTTGACTTTAAGGCTGCTCAAAATCAGAGAAATTTGGGTGTAAATGGCAAAAAAAAATCCCCAGTTCAGCCTCCCAGCTCCCTGACAAGAGTCTCAGTCTGCTCAGCAGGCTTTGACTGGGTACCTGTGTTCTGTCAGAACATTTTCTTTCAGTTGAAACAGATTCACAGGGTGCTGAGATTTCAAAATGGTAAATTCCTCCCTTGCATTCTGTGATTCTTTTTTTTTTCAAGTAATCACAACATGTTTTCTGTCTCTCAGACAGAAAAAAAGAACTCAAGGAAAGAGAAGAAAATCAAAATAGTGGTTCCTAGTAAAGCGAAAAAGCACCAGGATTTCATACATTAAGTCAAAACCTTCATTTTCCTACAAGCAATTATTTTCCAGTGCAGCTTTTTGATATCCAAATACTGCAAGCAGTGTGTGCTGTGTTCCACCAGAATGAAGAACAACAGCCCTCGTGCTGGGTGAGGAGCAGCAACCAAAGAGAGAGGTAATAAATTTACCTTGAAGAAAAAGCCCACACCGGACTTCTGATCACCTTCACTGATCAGATCCGTGGAGCTATCCTGGTTTTCAAGCTCTCCTTCATCTGGAGCTTTCAAGTCAGACAAGTCCACCTCGATGAGGTTGGCTTTGCTTCTCAGCGGCTCCTCCACCGGGACGTTCTCTTTGCCCGAGCCATCGGAAGAGTTCAGCCCCGTTTCCTTGAAGCTGTTGTTCACCTCCTGGCTCATTTCAGACAGAATGTTGGCATCTTTGGAGGTGGAGAGGACAAGTGCCCTTTGATTGCTCTCGTCGTGGAGTCTGTAGGTGTCAAAGAAACACTTCTCCTGAGAGCCACTTCCGAGGTCAGGACTCCCTTCCAAGCCCATTTCCGTGGGTGTCTTTGCCAAGCTGTTGGGTGGGAATGGTCTCAAATGGGGTAGGTTTTCTAGACTCGGGGTCGGGGTTTTAACTCGTGTAGAGTTTTGCTGTCTGTCTTTAGGGACTTTGAGATCAGCTGGTCTTCCTGACCGAGGAGTCCTCCCTTGGCCAAACCGGGGCGGCTTCCGCAGGCTGTTCATTCCAGTTGGAGACAGGGGCTCCACAAAATGAATCGAAGGCTTTACCTTTTGATCCTGAGAGTTACTTCTGGCTCCTGGGGATGGCACTGTTGGAGATTTCATAAGCAGCTCCTGTTGCTGGGAAATCTTCAGGATGGCCTGCTGAAGGGTGCTGATTGTTTCGTTCAGTTTTTCAATAGAAAGGTCACATTCATTTATGTCCACCTCAGTCACGTTGTCTTCTAGGAGGGCAACGGAAATGATTTTACTCTTTTCCAGATCATGTAGAGCAGCAGAGTCTTTTGCTTTGTGTTGCTCAGCAAAAGCCAGGCTTTCCTGCATTTTGGCTTTCGCCACTTCTTGGGAATCACCGAGCATTTCTTCTCTCTCCTCCTCCTTCCCAAGAAACTCCTCGGGTTTGGAACCCAAAGAAACTTCATCCAAGTCTTCCCCGTTATGCCGAGCGTACTCTTTTGCAAAGTGTTCTGGTTTAAGGGGCTGTGGGCCATCAGGAGATTTCCCTTTCTTAACAACATGCAGGAAAGCTGCCTTGCCCAACTTTAGCCTCTGCCTTGCTGATAAGGCTTCCATCTTCTTCTTCTGAGCTTCTATGGCGCGGCGTTTCTCTTCCAGCTGCATGTGCAGCTGCACCAGCTCCGAAGCCAAAAGGTTGACGTTGTCTTTGTTCTGCCTGCTGGGGCTCTGCTCTCGCTTCTGTTTCCACGTGGTCAGCGGTGCTGGGCAGCTCTCTGACCCATCTGGGGTGGTCTTCTGGGAGCTGCTCGTGCTCGACTTGGTCTCGTAGCTGTTGAGCCTCTGCAGCTTCCGCTCAGCGAAGCTGGTCATGCGGACGCTGCCGCTGGCCATGGACACGCTGCTCACCTGGGAGATGGTGCTCAGGCAGGGGCTGGAGCGCCCACTGGCATCATCCTTGTCCTCGTGCTCTTTCACCTTCATGTCCTCCTGCAGCTTTGCAGATTCCTCCTCCCCAATGTACTTGGTGACTATGGGATGGTCATCCATGACCGCCAAATCCTGCTCGGCGTCTTCCATGTCCAAGAGATCCGACTCCGAGTCCTGTCTCACCATGGTCCAGGTCGTGTCCTGAACGTGCAAATTGAGCCCTTTCACATAACTTACATTGACTTTGCTCGTTACCTCATCATCAGGTTTAGCAGCATGAAGAAAGAATCCTCCAGTGGACACCTCCTGAGAGGAAGGATCTAAACTGCTGCTAGCCAAAGGTCTGGAAGCTTCTAAACCTGCTTCCCCCAGGGCCACTGGATCTGCAGAAGTGGGATCTGCAGCTGGAGTGTAATCAGAGCTAGAAATGGGAGTAAAAGTCCTGTTGAGGTCGTGCTCGCCGTGACTGCTCGGCGCTTTCTTGCGGCCCAAAGACAAGAGTCCTTCATTCAACCTCTTGGTTACAAAACTCCTCTGCTTCCCCTCCCCACACTCCTCCTCCTTGTTGATGATCTGTTTTTCCTTGGCTGGTTTCAGAACTGCAGGCATTAAGGGCTCCAGGTAAAAGCTCTCCGGTTTGCCGTCTGAGGTGTCGCTGTTTGTTTTTGGGGACCACGCTGATGTCACTATGCTGGGCACCCTGGTTGGTGCATTCTGCACCTCCGGGTCCCCACGGCTTGGCCTCTCCTCAGACCTGATAATTGCAATGAGCTCTTCATCCTCATCCTCCATCTCCACGTTGTTCAGCAAGCTCTTCCCGTTGGCTTTCGCCGCTGGAGGGTGGGGCTGGTTTTTTGGGGTTACGTTGACGATGTTTGAAGCCAGACTGTCCTTGCTGATGGATCTGGCCAGGCTGATGCTGTCACCAGACCCCGGGTCCACATCAGTGCTGGCAGAATGATGGAGAGCAAACGGTGTTGGCTGAGACAGAGGCCTAGAAAAGATAAGAACAGTCCACTGACACTCAAGCCCAACAAGTTACAATTTGTTGAATTAAAGACCACGATTCAGACAGCTACAATTTTTGCTTTATTTTAACAGTGCATCCCGTGTGAAGTGACCAGCAACACCAAGCAGCAGCTTCAGATGCTTCCATTTTCAAGAGCGCTTCCTGAAAATCACGTCTGACGGATTTCCAACTGCAAATCTAAAATCAGTCAGCTCTGAAAATGCACATTAAAACAAAAAAAAAAACAAAATTAAGGGACTGTCAGTCCAGTTGTAAGGCAGTGACGCCACAGCACTACAATCAGATTATGTCCTTGAGCAATACTGGAATACCTAAAGGCCTCTCTCACCTGGGTTTCTTCTCTGGCCATGCAAGAACTGCCCCTCGTGGCTGCCCGTCCACACGGGTGAGAGAATTCGAACGATGCCGCTGCCCTGCAATGGGTTTGGAATTGATAACAGTTTAAAAATGCTCTTTAAACAAGCACTTTTTCACATTTAAAGGCAAACACAGTGACAGAATCGGCTCCCTCCCCAACAGATGGCAGCAGCAAACAGATTTGCTGCAACCACAGACACAGCCAAAGCCCCCAAAAAATTAAAATCCAGTAAGTTTCTTAAAAGATCTTGACAATCTTTTAATGCAAACAAAGGTGATTTACTCAACATTCTCACCACTTGGGTGACTGCAGTTTAATTTGACTTTAAATCCCTCATAGAAATGAACTTGTATTTTTATTATTTTATTGACATCAGTGGTCACTGACAGTTGAAACACAAACTCAAGCTGGACTTACCAGGGCTGTCTTCTCCCTGTAAAGATTTTTGTTGCTTTTGCCTCAAAGGGAGCAGTGGATGGGAAGGGCTAAAGGCAGGGCTTCCTCCTTTGCCACTAAAGCCAGAAAAGCAAAAATTCATTACTACAAGATTTTTTTTTTCTAGAATAAGAAAAAATATCTAGTTGTGAAGTTACAACTGGTAATAGTTACCCTCATCCTCTTTAAAACATCATAAAATATCATTAATTTGAGAGAAGTTACTTCAAGAGAAGAAAAGGCTTTCATGTGTAACTATACAAAGGTAAACCCATTGCCTGACATTAAATAAGTTTCTAAACACATTACATTTAAGATGTTGCTTATGTAAATAGCAAAATAGAGACAAAGGTTGAAAGAACTTCTTGGTTGCCATCAAATTTAGGTGAGCTGAAAAATCTTGTCCCTAACTTTCCTGCACATCAGATCATGTTTAAGTTTGATTTCATGGAATCACAGACTGGTTTGGGTTGGAAGGGATCTTAAGGACCATCCAGTTCCACCTCCTGCCATGGGCAGAGACACCTCCCACTAGTCCAGGTTGCTCTAATCTGGCCTTGGACACTTCCAGGGATAGGGCAGCCACAGCTTCTCTGGGCAAGCTCAGGGCCTCCCACCCTCCCAGGGGACAATTTCTTCCTAATATCCACTCCAGTTTTAATATTTCCCATTTTTCCCAGAGCAGAAGAGCTTCTGCCATGCTCCTGCAAGGGCTTGTTGGTGTTGGCCAAACAAAGACCAAACACAACAGCACAAAATGTTCCTGTGAACTCGAGAGCTGAGATCATTGCAAAGACCGACCCAACTCAAATCCACTCCGTTGGCAGCAAAGTGACAACTGGAGATAAAACAGCAAGAGGACACACTTACAGGTACTCAGGCTCCTCGGGGTGCAGGTAGTACCTGCTGCAGGCCTCAGGGGCTGTCTGGGTCGAGGGCTGCAGCTCTGCAGGGCTGGGACCGGCAGGACTGGCCATGAAACTGCGCTTGGTGGCGTTGGAAATGGGGACGGGGGGGCGGCTGCTCTTCTGCTGCATCACTGCTTTGACTGGGACACATTTACAACATTCATTTACATTATTGACAACTCACACTAGCCTTTAAAATGACAAAACACGACAGGGAGCTTTCAAATTGCAGTTTATAAGAAAGCAAACTTCACAATGCAATGCTAAAACAAAACCTCGAGCATTAAAGACATCTATTTTCTGGTGACCTTAATAGGAAGAAAAATTCAAATAAATAATTAATTAGTGGGTTTAGAGAAAAAAATTACCTGTTTGAAAATTAGTCATTCAAAAAAATTAGAACTCAGGTGGATGTAAGACTATTTTTACTGCTTTCAAAGAACCCCAGGTTGAATAAACTTTGGGTAGAAAGCAAGCTTCGAAGGAATCATCACCAGGCAACAGTTTCATTGCACTGTAAGTTTTAAGTTTAGTGGTGGTTAAAAACTTACCATCTTTAATTTCCTGGATATCTCTGGGTTGCACAAAGTCTGGTTTGACATTCTCAAACCACCAGAAGAGTTCTGCAATGAACACCATGACGTTAGGCTGGAACAGAGGAGAAGGGAGATTACACCTCACAAGAACAAAACCCCTCCTGAGTTCCCCCTATTTCATTGACAGAGATGCCCTTTGTTGTGTTTCGTACCTTCAGAACCAAAGGAGCATACAGCATGTCCTCCAAGGTGAGGTAAAAGCATTTGTTCAGGTATTCATTTGAGAACTCTCTCAAAAGTTGGATGTTGTAGAGGCTGTCTGCTATTGATGTCACCTCCTTCAAACAGATATCTGGGAAGGGGAGAGGGAGGAGAAGTCATGGCAGTGCTCCAAGGGGTTAACCTTCCACCCCCACCTCCCAGAGACACCACAAACAGGAGCTTCCCAGAGTATACACCATCCCTGAGTATTTACTGGCTGCCAGGGATGTTTCTCTGCCTGTTCAATCCCAGAGGGACAGGAAAAGGGGGAAGAAAAGCACAGGTAAACCAGTATCAAGTCTGCATTAATTTTTGGCTCCACAGAGGATTCTGTCTGTCACAGCAACAGAGAAGGTAAGGAGGCTACAGAGAACACACAGAATGACAAACTACAGAAGCAATTAAAATCAGACATCTTGATTTGCATATAATAAAAGGTTGCTCCTAGGATTCAGAGTGCTGGCTTCTCCTGGAAACACTCAGGAGCTCTGCAAGGTACAACATACCTGGGAATTTACAAACCAACACAAAATGTTGATCTGAAGAAGTGAATGCAAGAAGGACATTGAGCTATTTTTTTAAAACCCACATTTACTGGGAAATCTCACACTGTCATGTGAGAGTGACAATTGCTGAAGACTGGGAGAAACTATTTTAAAATCTAGACTTTTAAAATGTACTCCTACAGGAAAACCTGAGAATTATCAGATAACACTAGTGGACATGTGTTCCTTTTTTTGTTTTATCCTATTAAAAACAAGCTCAGATATTTGAGTAAAGAAAGCCACCTCACCTAAACCTGTAAAAGAAAGGATTACTTTGTAGCTCATGATATACAGGGCACAGTCTTCTAAGTACAGTAAGTAAAAACACAAGATCAAATACACTGATGCAGATTCTATATGTGATTTGACTCTGACTTGCCATAATCCACTACCTGTTGTGTTGTTGCATTTTTATTTGATAATGTATTTCCTTTTCTTTTTTTTTTTTCTTTTTCCCCCTTTATTACATACCATCCAGTTTCATCTGCTCTGGACAATAATAGTGTATCACAGCTAGAAGAGCAGCACCATCACTCCCATCCTTCATCAGATCCTCCAGCAAAGGGAAATAAGGTAATTGCCTGCTGGACAGATGGTCCCGTCGGTAACGCACCTGCCGAGACAAAACAGGGAGTCACGTCATGCTGAAGATGCAAAAAGACAAGAGGAGAAAAAAAGCCAAAAAACCCAGCCCCAAAAAGGCGTTTTTGTTAAGCTTTGAAACCTCTTTTCAGTGGATCCTTTATAGCATCTGCTCCAGTCAAACCAGCTGACAAGGGTGTGCTTTTCTCTCCACAGAAGCCAGTTCTGAGGAATGTGGTGCTGCCTTTTAATCCTAGAGTGGTTTGGGTTGGAAGGGACCTTAAGGTCATCCAGTCCAAGGCCCTGCCATGAGCAGGGAACCTTCCACTAGACCAGTTTGCTCATCTACATTCAGTCTCCTCATGTCTGGGAGCAATCCATGCTGCTGGATTCCTCGCTTCATTCACACACTGTAATTCATGATAACCAATTGAAGTCAAAATCCTTCCTCACAGATGCATGAGTGCAGCAGATCCAAAGAAAGAGACATGGATAACTACATGAAAACACTTAAAGCTTGGGCAAACCAAACCAAAACACAGCAAAAAATAATTCAGATGAGCTGGTGATCTCTCATACGGTATCCACATCCACAGACAGCAAAGTTGTCTCAGAGAGAATCAGAACATGGCAAGGCAGAGAAAAATAAAACCCATTTTCCAAAATGGTCAGAGAGAGGAGCAAGGAGGCCTTGACATGAACAGCAAAACTCTCCAGGATTTACCACAAATCAAAATCAAACTCTTTGGTAAACCAGCCCCAGCCCTGGGGGATCTGGAGCTGCTGAAGTCGCTCAGCTGCAGAGCAGATCTTGGCATTGCCTCTTGCAGTTCTTGCAAGAGAAGTCCCAGGGTTGCTGATTCCTCATCACCCACACTGCCCTGCACTGGGGGCTGTGTCTGGCTGAGCAGCAAAGCAATGGGACAGCAGAAGCACAACAACTGCAGGGCCTGGCAGGAGCCCCTGGCAGTGCTGCCAGAACAGCCCCTGGCACTGCAGGGCATTAAGAACACTGAGCAGTGAACCCCCCGTCTTGTCTGATGGGCAGATACACCAATCACCTATTTACCCATCAGAGGAGAGCTGGATTTTACCAATGGCATCCTACACTTTTCCAAGCCAACCTGGGAAAGCTCTCTAGACACACACACACACACCTCTAGGTGTCAACTTAGGATGGCACAGGCTGTGAAAAAATCTGTTCAGAGGAACGAAGATCGCTTGGAGGAGTCAGAACCAGGTTCACTTCTTTCTTTGGCAGAAATACAAGCACGTTCTGTTAAGTTTCCCAAGGAACTCAAAGCTATCTCTGTGGTTTTTTCCTGTCCTTTTACCAGGTGCAAATGATCTTTTTTTCCCCAGCCTGGAGCACTCCATAAATATGTTAATGGGATGGGAATCATACTGTACCACACGAGCATATTCCACCGGTTCCAGCATGCAGTGTGATATGGCATGCAGCAGATCAGGCTTACACAGAGAGAAACAGTGACATACAGGATGGTGGTTATTCAAAAACAGCAAACAAAGCAAAAGGCAGCAGCAACATCCATTATGCACTGGAAATGTGGGCCCTCGGTCTGGGAAAATTATTGTGTGCTAAGGTGAACTGGTTAGGCTTCAAAGGGTCAGCATTTAGCCACTTGGAGTAAACATATTAAAAATTAAAAAAAAACACTTCAGAAGTTCTTTTGAAACTTTAATTCTTCCTATGTTTAAAGTAGATAAAAATATTTCTTTTCTAATAGGCTTAAATAGAATTTAAACCAACTGCAGTCAACGCTGAGAAGTAAAATCTCTAGGAATTCCTTGTTTCTTGTAGCTTTGGTGAAAAAAACCCACAAATTTGTCAAAGAGGGTTTTTATGGACTTAGTGTAATTCCTTGGGTTTTGCTCAACTATCATTCTCTTAACCAGTCAGTCTTCTATACTGAAAACACTGAATTATTCCTTATATTCTAAGATGAGTTTTGTTGGTTTGTTCCCCTCCTGCCCATGGACACAACTAATGACATCAGTAAAAAACCCAAAAATCACAAAATAAAAATAAAATACAGAGGTGACAGAATCTGACAACTGCTTAATCTGCAAAATCTGCCAGTAAACCAGTATAATCTATGTTGTAGCAGTGAGAAAACCTCTATTCACTCCTTCCTTGGGTTCAAGTTTTTGCTGCAGCCAATATATTTGGTTCAAACAAAGGATCAGGAGGCACCAGCGGGACTGAGCCCTGGGTGGGAAGGCAGAGAGGTCACAGGGACAGGGAGCTGCCCCATCACACCTGCCTTTTCCAAGGGCACTGCTCTCCAGACTCAGCAACTGAGACAACAACTCCCACCTCCCCAGGGAGAAAATGAGCAACAGCAACTCCTGCAAGTGCAGGAGAAAGGGCAGCAAAGCTCAGGAAAGCAAAGGAACAAAGGAAAAGCTCTGCAAGTCAAAATAAACCCGGAACACTCCAACAGAACAAAGCAGGATTCTATCCCACAAGTACAGTTCTGGTATTTTTTAATAGAGTGGAGTTTTTTTAAAGAGTGGAATTGTTATTCCATTTTCACACTTCAGCCCTAAGAAAAACCAGTATTTTGTTCCAATATGCAAACTGTCTCCCCTCCATTTGCCAGCTCAGGCTCGTTGACTGGGCACACGATCCCAGCAATCATCACATGGGATCCAGAGTGGTCTGTCCCATCTCCACACCCCATCCCAAGGAACACCAGTCCTGACAGACCCCCAGATCTGCCCCACAGCAGGTGCTAGAGCATTGTAAGAGCATTATTTAAGCACAACCATCTGAGTATCTTAACTGTGGATTCCAAGATTAGGCAGCTGTTTAAGCCGACCAGCTCTGCCCTCACCTCCGTGCTGGGATCAGTCCCCTCCTCCCAACCAAAACACAGCTCTTTCAGCTCTTCACTCTGCAGGTTTTTGCTGCTGCTGCTGCTCCACCTCCCTCCCTCCCTCCCTCCTGCAGTGTGGAAGCAACTTTGAGGTGCTGGGATTGTGCTGTGCAGGATGCAAGAAGCGTGTCATGGAAGCAAAGCCTGATGACCCAAAAGCTTACAGTAAAAGAAATAAAAATAAAAATAATAAAACAAAAAGGGTGTTTTTCAAAGAGCAGCTAAGAAGCATTTTAATGGAAGCAAACACTCGGAGGAAGTTCAAAAAGCCATGGTTTTGTGGATGACAACTGGTGTAAAAGGAGTTCACTTACAGGTACTAATTTCCAATACCATTTGGAAGGAGACTGCTCAGGAAGCAAGGAAAGGAAGGTGGGAATAGGAAAGGAACATCAGCAATGCAAGTTAAAAGCAGTAATACTTAAATGCACTTCAGCAATAAGCACTTTCATATTTTAGAGGGGTTGTAGCCTAGAAATTTAAAGATATTAAAATGAGCCCCAAGAGTCAACAGAGTCAAATAATTAAAGGGATCCTTCAGACTATGCATCAGCTTGTAAGTTAAACAGCCTCTTTAGCTCCTTATTTTTGAATGCTATTATTTTCCATAAGAGGCACTCACATGAAAATTAAACAATTGTGCCTTGTTCAAATGTCACACTTTGATCCCCTTTGTCCAGCAATGCCAATTTGAGGAAAGAGTATATTATTTGTAAATTATGAAATCATAAACTGGGAGCTCAGAGAGCTGACAGACATTGTGTTTGACATTCTCCAGAAATGAAAGTGTGCTATATTTTGCAATATGAGTGCATTGTGATATAATTTCAAGGGGGAAAGCTGGAAAAAAACTACAAACACACACATGTAACATTTGAATGCCAAGAGTATCCTTACTGGACAGAACCTGAATAAGTCTCTGAATATACATTAGACAAATAACCCATGCAAAAAAAAAAATACACCCCCAAAGCTTTCAAAATATATAAGATATATTTTGTGCTGTGAAAGCTGAGTCACATTTACCCATGTACAGGTGATGCAAGTTATTTTAAGGTGAAAGAAGTTGTTTTCAGCCAACTGAAACTTAAAGGAAAGTTTAGGAAGATACCAGTGGGCTCCAAAGGTAAGGAAGGGCACTGATGACAAACATAAACCAAACTGGATGCACAAAACCTCAGGAGTTTTGAGGGCTGGAGCCCTCACATTTCTCTGACAAAGAAAATACTGATATTTAAATCCATTCATCATTAACACACAATATCATGACTGAAGACAATTTTGTGTTACCTTTTGATGCCCTGGGCTTTCCATGAGTTGCTGTTTTAATTTCATCTCCTTCTCTGTTATCTCTCTCATTTTAAGGTTCACCTGAAAGGACATTGCATAGAAATTATATTAAAATACATCTGAGAATCTTTCCACAAGTCAAGTGTTTTTCCTCCCATGGAATGGTCAATCCATTCTACAGACATTAAAAGTTCATAGAATAACACATTGCAACAGTTTTCTAGAGTAACCCTCTATTAACAGTAGCTGTAATCATAACTAGGGAATCCTGGGATTGTAAGGAGACATCCTCCTTGGAATGTGACTCTGGTGTCACTCAGAAGGGTTACAGTAACTTGACTGCTGCCCTTGGAAAAGTTTCAGGATTTCTGGTGAATGTGTTCAAGTGGCCAGAATTAACTCCACCCTGTTATTTAACATGAAACAATGCTTCACCTAAAAAATCCCACTTCACAGCAGCCTGTCTGAAAATAAAGAACCCAATTTCTACAGTTCCTAATGATCTTCCTTATCTCAAAATTCACCAGCTTCACTCACCCCTAAGTAAAAGGAATCACAGAGTGGAAAGAGGTGATAGAAATGCACCGGTGAGAAAGATGGAAGGAATTCACTCATCAGAATAATTTTAAATATCTGAAAAGGGACAATAAGAGACAGGCATGCTTCCCCCAAAGTAAATATTACCTTGTTAATCCAGAAAACCATTGCATCCTCCAAGTCATAGGGCAGTTCTTTAGAGGCACTGAACGTCGAGAAGCGCTTGACACTCGCCACCACCTTTTCAATGCTGATCATTTCCACGGTGTAGGCCATCATGAGAGCATCAATCATTGCCATATGAGAACTCTGAAAGGGGAAAACGAGGAGGATTGGAAAATAAAATCTCTCTTAATGACTGGTGGGAAGAAAGGTAACACACAGGTACCCCTGGAATGGCAGGCGGTGCAGGGAGTTCAGGAGAATTTATTCCAAAGAGGAGAACATTGGATTTACAAGGGAAAACTTCTAACAGTGCTGCAAAAAGCACTGGGCCTGAGAAAGACACGTTTCCTGTTCTCTTCCAGGCCTTTATCTTCGTTACACCTGAGGGTTTATCTCTCCTCATACCAGAGACAGAGACTGCAAGCTTCCTCTGGAATCCAGAAGGAAATAAACCATCCACCTGTCCTTGAGAAAGTTACTTCTCTTTAGGCTTCCTAAGCAAAACAAGCCCTAATCTCCTTGCTACAGATCTTCCAGCAGGGTATTTACACTCACAGTGCCGTGTTCCAACTGTATTTAAAATCAAAAAATTCCTGAACTTCGCGACCTAGAAACGACGAGCTCTCCCCTCCTCTTCCCACTTTAACTAGTGTTTAAATAAAAGGAAGCTCGTTAGTGGATTTAATTAAGCTCACCATCTTGATTGGTGCCGAGCCCAGATCAGACTCAGACACAGGTGTGTCATCGCTCTCCATGACGTAAATCCCCTTCCGAGACAGCGCCTGGATGACGGACTGGTGGCCCTGCAGAGCCGCCACCTGGTCACCCTTGAGGATGAGGCTGCAGACGCGGCAGTACAGCTCGCTGGACAGCAGTAGTTTGATCACCGGGGGCTTGATGTGCTCCTGCTCGTACTGGTCGATGTAAAACGGGTCCTTCAGCTCCTCGGGGACGTTGTCTGAAACAGCAGAGAAAACACCTGGTTATTGTGTGTTAGTGGGGGTTGATTTTTTGGGGAATTGTAACTGTTTAGGGCACGGAGCAGTTGGAGAGAAAGGGACCTGGGGGTGCTGAGTGACAGCAGCTGAACACGAGCCAGGTGGCCAAGAAGGACAATGGATCCTGGCTTGGATCAGGAATTGTGTGGCAGCAGGAGCAGGGCAGTGGTCCTGCCCCTGTGCTGGGCACTGGTGAGGCCACACCTCGATTGCTGTGCCCAGCTCTGGGCCATCAGTTCATGGAGGGGCTGGAGCAGGTCCAGAGAAGGACAACCAGGCTGAGGAAGGGTTTGGAGCACAAGTGCTGTGAGGAGGACTCGGGGTTGTTGAGCCTGGAGAAGAGAAGGCTCAGGGGTGACCTCATCACTCTCTCCAACTCCCTGACAGGAGGGTGTAGCCAGGTGGGGTTGGTCTCCTCTGCCAGGAACAGCAGTAGGACAAGAGGGCTCGGTCTGCAGCTGTGCCAGGGAGGTTTAGGTTGGATATGAGGAAGAAATTCTTCACAGAGAGACTGATGAGACATTGGAATGGGCTGCCCAGGCAGGGGGTGGGGTCACCGTCCCTGGAGGTGTTTAAGGACAGACTGGATGTGGCATCGGTGCCACGGGCTGGGTGACAAGGTGGGGTTGGGTCACAGGTTGGACCGGATGATCCCAGAGGTCCTTTCCAGCCTCGCTGATCCTGTGATTCTGGGGAAATGCTCCGGGCCTCAGAAGGGCACCATTGATGTGCATCTTCAAAGCCAAATCTACAGCTGCTCGGAACAATATCCCAAAACATCTGCACACAGCGACAGCACAACTGCAAGGCTCAGTCACCGCCACACTGCACGAGAAAACTAAACCACCAACTGGTTCTGAACTGCCAAAATTCATCAAAAGACAAAAATATCGGACTAAAACCTCAAGAACTTCACAAACAGTTTGCAAACCAGCCCAGTCTCCAGTGAGCTGATGGGCTGTTCTTTTGACAAGAATGTGTTGGAGCTTTTTGGTCTTTAAATGAAAATTCAAGCCTAGGAAGCAGACCCACTCCACTGGGATTAAACAGGAGCTTTAAAAATTCACTTCTTTTGGCTTGGCACGATTTTCACAGGTTGTATTAGGATTTTATCAAACTGAACACAGATCCTGAGTAATTTGAATGCAAGTTAAAATCAGCAACACGGAAGACCCGACCCTTTCACACCCCCAACCATAAAGACCCTTTCGCTGCTGCCCAGGAGAGAAAGGCACTGACAACAACTAATATTCCAGTCACTTTAAATATGCCTCAGAGGTTTCAAATCCATCCCAAAATAAATACTTTTACTCATATTCAGTAATCAGCTCAGGAGCTATTGATCTTTATAATGGCTTAGCAGGAATAATGAGAGTTTGCAACCCCAAGAAAAATATTTTCCAGCCTCAAGTGTATTGTCTTAATAGAAACCTGACATTTCCTAATTTTCAGACATAAAATTCTACCTAGTTCCATCCAATCACTCTGAATATCTTTCCCCAAAGTCACTCCAGTGGTTCATTTAAAATACCTACATCTACGGTTAAAAGAATTATTAATTTACTTTTCATTCAGCTCGTTACCAGAAGGATTCACTTTTCCCATTCCAAGGAATTCCTACCCACAGCACATCTTTAAACTGCAGCAAAGGCCACACAATATTTTCACACTGCTCGAGCTTCCATTTCTAAAGATCCAAAAATCTAAATGCAAGGCAGCTCCCACAATTCAACCCCTCGAGTTCATTACAAGCAGCTACACCTTCAACAACCAAAGCCACTTTGCTTTGTGCCAGAATTATTTCTGAAAGGCAATAATACAAGCTCATAAAATATCCATGAGGTTGTACAGCTCTGGCAGAGCATTAGCACCACTCCAAGTTTAAAAGGCTTTTTTTTTTTAAAACCATCCAAAAAACCAAAAAAAACCCAAATTCCAAATGTGTGAGATGTGAAGCACTTGGATTGATGGTCAGTGTGACAGGGGCAGTCAGCCCTCCCACAGCAATTTTCGATTAAACCAGCTCTGTTTCAATGATTTTTAAAAGCCTTTTCTAGCACTAAATGGATCCCAGTGAGGAGATTCCATGTCACAGAAATCAATATATTTAAAAAAAACACCAACCCAAAACAAACACAAAACCCCAAAACAATGCAGAAATAAACAAACAAACAAACATCCTTGTATTTTATCTGCTGTTGATCACTCTGAATGCCCAGCCAAGAAATCTGAAATCTTCTACACTGAAGAACCCTCCACGTTCCTGATCTGCAGATGAGTGCTTAAGGCCTGGATGGATTTGGATTGACCAGGATTAAAGACAACTCAGGGTGGGAATAACTCCCAGCACCAGGATTAATAATTTGAATACTCTCAGAGGAAGTCACTCATCAACATTAAGCCTCCCATAATAGCAACTTATTTCACAGTAAACACGTGCCCAGTTTTATTTTCTACCCCATCTTCAGCCAGCTAAATTTGTCTGTGACACACAGGAATGGGTTTGTTACTCATTTCATGTCCTGACAAGACAGACCCAGGGAAATTTTAATATATAAAAACCAAATCAAAGCTCAAGCTTCTGTTTTTCCCAATGTGCTTTCTGGGTTGTTTCCCCAGGTAAATGTTTACATCAGCCTCAAGACAGGTTTTAGAGTTGCCAGTTTTTTAGGCAAACTGAGAGTTCCAAAGATGAAGCTTGAAAACTACTAGTGTTTTTATAGTAATTTAAAACCAGTACATAATCTGCAATCACCTCTGGGAAGGTGAAAATCATTAATTCAGTTTTTCATCAAGAATTGTTGGAGAATTTACCACCTTACTTGGTATCAGAGTTGACTGGATCTCTTTCACACATGGGATTAATGTAAATTTTATACCCTATTAATGAGTTGCATGCAGTCAGCTCATTAAAGAGCAAAAATGGTCATTTTTGCTGCTTCCCACACTTATAAACTGAAGTAATATCATATTTTTTCCAAGTTCCAGCAGCATAAACTCTTGAGTGTTCTTGCCCTGCTGAGCCTGCTGGGGAGGCACCTCCACCAGCTCTTTGGGTAAGAGAGGAGGGACCCAAAAATAAACCCCCCTGATTCCTCATGATGCAATTCCTTCAGTCTGTGCCATCATAGCAATGAGTTCTAATCTCCCAAAAACTGTCAGTTCCGAGTGTAAATCACCAAGAACAACATCATTTAGAGGATTAGAAAAATCACTTCACTTGCAACAACCAGCAGAGAGACAATTATTGCCAGGCTCTCTCCTCTCCTTGCTTCAAGGGGGGGGAAAACTTCTCCTTTATCATCTCACTTACAAAAAGCTGCTCAAAGACAACCACCTGATTCTGACTCGATAAAAACAAATGCAGCAATCTGAACCAATGTGAGTTATCCCTGGAGCTGCAGTGGATACACCCCAGATGTTCTGTTACCTCCAGAAGCACGAAGAACTGGTTTGCCATGGAAAGAGAGCCAAAGTGGGCTGGTGAACAGCACAGAGCTCATTCAAATTCTGGGTAGGATTTCACTGGGATGGGTATCTGTTCCCAGAGTTATTCAGCACTGGATGGGTGTCCTCCAAGCTGCAGAGCACGAGCACAAACTACACGTTCTCAGCACTGAGAGCAGCAGAATTAAACCCACTCTTTTTGGTGGTTCTCGCTCCAGCACTGGATTTATAAAGCCTGCAAGTGATCTGGGATAGGGCACAGCAACATTTCCATATAACAGGCAGGGAAAAGCCAAGCTGAAGGCTTTGGGAAGAGCTGGGAGAGTGACCGCACTCATTATCATATCTTTTGATCCAGCACAAAGCCACAAACCTGCAGGAAGCAGGAGAGACAAAATGATAATTACCCCTGTAAACTCCACACAATAACCCCCAGTGTTTATGAAACAGCTGCTATTAAAGAAACAAATGTTTAGCTATTGAATATTTGCTAAACACAAGAGCTCCCTTACAAGCAGTTCTGCTACCAACCTAAGCAGAAAGCTGACAAAGAAGAGCAGGGAATCCAGGGATTTAGGCTCTTCAGCCCAGGAAACAGGCTCACACTGCTCCTGCCAACCAGCAGCTATTACAGCACTGCAAAACCTTATTTAACAAGTAAGTTTAAAGCACTTCAAAGACCAAAAAAAGCCCAACTTGCATTTCCCCTCCACTGCATTACATTAGCTCTTGGCTTTCCTGGTTGCATTTGCCAAAGGTCTCAGGCTACTGTCAGCATTAAGTCTGGAAACTAAAGCTCCCAGGCCTGATGAATAAGTAAAATCCGCTGAGACCCTTTTGAAAAATCCGAATTTTACATCCTGTTTTACAGAGGCAACAACATTTGTCATGGAAAGGGTTGGGAACAAACCCCTGCTCCCAGCAAGCTGCAACACTGAGACACTTCCATATGCTGCTTCAATATCTGAATTTTAACATGCTGGTGGAAAACATCATTTCTACGCATAAATTAACGCTGCACCGACTAAAGCTGCCGAGAAATCAGAATCTTCCCTTGTCATTGTCTGTTTTCTCAAGTGGTACCAAATAAAAACATGAAATCAAACTCCATTTTCTCAAGCCACTGTCTCAGCTAAAGGGACTTGGAATCTTCCAAGTGCAGGTTTCCAGATGTTTGTGCACTGAGGGATCCATGCCAGTACTCCCAGATTTATCTGGGGAGATGGATGATGCTGAATGGGGAAACACCTTCCTTCCCAACATCCCTTCCCTCTGTTTTCTGGAATTCTGACAAACAGTTGTAGGACCTCCCTCTGGGGCCCATCTGTGCCAACCAGGCATCCACCAGAGCCAGGAGCTGCAGATTCCAGGAGCAAACCATTCATCCTGTGCAAGAAGAGGGGTTGTCTCACAGAATTCCTGCAGCTCCAGTTGTTTGGCTACCAAAATTCTCTTTTATGGCCAGAAGGAGAAAAAAAGACAAGTGAACCATCAAACGAAACAAAGCCCCAACTAGGAGTTCAAATCTAAATTATTTGTCATGTGTGCTCCCAGTGATTTGTCCTTGAGGGGAAAAAAAAAAAACAAAGGATGAAGAATTTTCCTTCTTAAGTGCCAGCTTAGAGGTGGGGAATTCAAATATCCTTTACCAGTAAAGAGAAAATACAGTTGCAGGTAAAACCTGCAGTGGTGAATGACTTCCAGTGACAATCACAGTCCTGTTCTTGACCCTCAGCCTTACTCAGATCAAAATGAAATCCAAAATATGCATCAGGATTTGAAAGATCAAGGCACAAAATTTTGTCAATTCACATGCAGCAAATCCAAACCCAACATTTCAGGAAAACACCCTTAATCAGCCACCTGAAAGCAGTTATGGAAACCTTATCAGGTAAGATTTACGTCAGAACACGTTTTAATATTATGAACAGAGAAGCATTTTTGTTCCCAAATTAACCAGAAATTAGTCCAAAATAATAAAAAAAGCCCCCAAAATCTTCCATCTGCACGGTGAGATTTTAAATAAGAAAATCACTCATTTGAACATCATCCAACATCTTAAAACAGAGACGTAACCCTGAGAGATGACATCAAGTATCAAAAATTATTCCAAATTCTAATCACATAGGAAACCTTCTTAAACCCATCCCTCTATGAATTAAAGAGGCTTATAAATTTCGAGGGATTGTGCAATGCCATTCCAGCAGAAATGGCTAAACATGTGACAACGACTTGCAGGAGCCATTTCAAAAAAATCAAACTACATTTCCAGGGGCCACAGTCCTGCGAAAAGATGCACATGGACACAAATCCTGCCTCGCTGCAGCAGCACCGACAGCACAACACAGAAAAAAATATATCTTTTCCTATTGTTTGTGGCCTTCAGCTGCTGTTAAATGCAATCTGCACAAGCCTAAATGCAAGCAGAAAAGCTGGCAGAGGCTGCTCCAGCCAGAGATCCCGTCCCTGTCACGAGGAAAAGCTGTTTTCTTTTTAGCCCTCAGTCCGAGGGAAGCCAAATACTTTTCCACTCAAAGTCTGCGTTGCCGAGTGCACAAACAGACTTGCCCATCAAGCAATTAACTGGTCCAAGAGGTGCAGACACAACCGCGAGTTGTGGAGCCCCAGCTGACACCACCCAGAGGCCACCGAGCTCCCTCTGCAGCGCAGGAGCAGCGCCAGTCCCTTCCCGTCGGGATCGGCTTCTCTGGGAAACAAAGTCACAGCTCACACACACACGCTTGCATCTCCAGGCCTGGAGTATCCATTTTATCGCTGATGGCTACAAAAGTTTCAGGCAACGTTACAAACAATTCCGGCAAGTGAGAAATATTTACATCGGGAAATGCCTGTTCTGTTCTTGCAAGTTATCAGTGTTTTATTGATGCCCTCCCCAAATTCCCACGTTGTTTTTTTTTTTTTGAGAGGGTGTTTTTTTTGTCTCTTGCTGCCTGTAACAAAACACCTTCACTGACATGAAACGCTATAAACCCATGATTTTATTTGCCCCCCAACCACTGAGATGAGGAGGCCACTGACAGAGCTGGAAATATTTGAAAAGAAAAATAATTTAACACAAATATTCCAGCGAGGATTAATATTTAACGGGAGGAATGGACCTCTTTTCTTCAACCTTGTCACCAAGTAAGCCAGTGCTAATCCATTAAGCATATTATGAGTTTGGAGAATTAGACTTAGATTAACAGGGCCACCTCATTTTCCAAAACAAGACTCTGTACATGGTTTTGTTATATGTTTTGTTCTGGATAAAAAAAAAAACCCACCACCAGTGTGCCATCCTATCTGTTCACAATGAAGCTACTTAAACTCGAGATGGATCTAGCACATGGAGACAGATCTAGTTCAAAAGAAAAAAGCAAATTTCAACAGCTGCCAGGAAAACACTCACAAAGATACTCCAAGCATATTTATTTTTCCACGCTGGGCTGTACAGACTTATGACAATGTGAGGGAAGGGAGGAATTCCTCTGTCACCTACAACCTGCTCTTTAATGTCACAGAACACAAACCCACCTGCTCATTCATTTCTATTTCACAAAAGGAAAACGCTGCTGAACACAAATGGATTGTCTTTCAGCCCATCCTGGAACCAACCCCACCATCTGACAGGATGAAAAGTCCTAACTGAGCACACAAAGGCTGTCAAGATCCCAACATCCACTAGACAAGGAACACCCAAAGCCTTCCCAGCCTGGAGGGACTCAGGGCCTGCAAGCAGTGACATAAAGCTCTGAGGAACAAAGTCTGCTTAGCTAAAGCAAGGATTTAAACATTTTGAGGCAGGCAAAGCACCTCCCAAGCACCATCTGGGAGCGTTCACCATTAGCTTTGCTGATTCAGGGCATCTCCTACAGACCCGTTATTCCTGCTGGAGGGACCAGGAAACACATAATATTAACGAGAGAACAGGCTGCCATATTATTGATATTTAAAACAAAGCCAAATTTAATTACTCCTGGAACGGCAGGGGAGACAGAGAAAGCAAGAATAAAATCAAGAATGAGCTCCTGGCAGAGTTGATCTTACCTATTCCGTAGGCTTTAGCACAGATCCATTGTAGATTAGCAGCTATTTTTGCTCGGGCTGAATCATAGAGCTCCAAGGGGACAATCTCAACTGCACTATCCGTCAGAGCATCCATTTTTCTTCTGGTGCTATCTCCACCCGCACAAACATCAACATCCACCATCTAAAACAAAAACAAAAGGCAGCGACTTTTACACGAGCCGATTTACACGAGTCGATTCCGAGGCCACGCAGGAGAGGGGCCGCACACAACAGGCCCGGCATCCTTCGGGATTCCCACCGGGAGGGCTGATGGGGCGATTCAAAACCCACTCGGAAATCAAAGGGCATCGGAGCCCGGGGCGAGCATCCCTTTTTTGTGTGTGTGTGTGAAGGGCAGGGCCCGGCTCGGCGGAGAAAGGCGCAGCCCCGTCACCTGCCGAAGGGATAAAGGATGGGGCTCTCCCGAACAATGCGCGCAGGTACCGCCGCCCCCTCCCCGCCCTCGGGGCAGCACCTGCGGCTCCTTCCCCCGCCGAGCCCCGGAGAAGCAGCAGAGGCTCCGCGCCCGCACGCCCATGGCCGGGCCGAGCGGCGCCCCCTCCTCGCATCCCCTCCCCGCATCCCCGGCCCCGCCCGGGCGGGAGGGGGAGGAGGAGGCGGCGGCGGGGGCGGGGGAGGCGGGGAGGGGCGCAGCCCACCCGGCGCCGGCTCCGCGCAGGGCCCCGCCGAGCCCCCGCCCGCCCCGCGCGGCCTGCAGGCCCCGCCGCCTCACCTTTGCTGCGCTACCGCTGCCTCCATGCCCGGGGAGGGACGGGGCACCGCGGCGCCCTGGGCGGGGCAGGGGCGGTGAGGGGGGATGACGGCCCGGCGGGCCTGGCGCCGGTGCCGGTGGCGGGGAAGGGAAGGGCAGGGCAGGGAAGGGCCGGGACGGAGCGGCCGCCGAGGGGCCGCGGCTGCCACAGCGCGCTCGGGGCCGCGCGCGCCCGCGCGCGCGCATGCGCCCGCCTCCGCCCGCCGCGCGCGCGCGCTCGCTCCCGCGCCTTCTTCTCTCTCCCGCCGCTCCCGGCGCCGGGAGCGCGCGCCCGGCGGGAAAAGGGAGAGAGGCGGGAGAGAGAGGAAGGAGAGAGAGAGGGAGGGAAGGGAAAGCGTTGGGGGAGGAAGCGGCTGCGCGCGCGCGAGCGGGGCACGGCCGCCCTCCCGCCGCCCGCGCGCGCCGGGCAACCGTTGCCATGGCGACCGCGCCGGCCCCGCGCGAGCGCGGGGAGCGCCGACCCGCCCTCATGGACCCGCCGTGCTCACGGACCCTCAGACCCACAGCTCCTCATAGACCCACGGACCCATAGCCTCTCATGGACCCACAACCCCTCATGGACCCACAGCTCATCATGGACCCATAGCCATCATTGCCCGACAACCCCTCACGGACCCACAGCCCCTCATGGACCCTCACAGACCCACAGACCCTCACGGACCCATAGCCCATCATTGCCCCACAGCCCCTCATGGACCCACAACCACTCACGGACGCACGGCTCCTCATGGACCCACAGCCCATCATGGACCCACAGCCCATCCTGGACCCACAGCCCCTTTTGGATCAAAAAGTATCAGCAACACTTTTCTTCACATTCTTACAAATAATCTCCCTCAAGGCTTGCTGAGTTGCTCCCTTCTCACCGCCAAAGGACATCAAAGACAGTTTTCAGCCTGGCTTACACGTCTTATGTGTTTCTTAGCAAAAAGCTTTATGTCATGATCTACAAAGAGAGCAGGAAATACGTGACAGGTACAATATGTGATCGTTTTTTGCTGGGTTGGAAGGGACCCACCAGGACCATCCAGTCCAGCTCCTGGCCCTGCACAGACACCCCAACAATCCCCCCCTGTCCCTCAGAGCATCATCCAAACCCTCCTGCAGCTCTGACAGCCCTGGGGCTGTGCCCACTGCCCTGGGGAGCCTGTTCAGTGCCAACCACCCTCTGGGGGAAGAACCTTTCCCTGAGATCCAACCTGACCCTCCCCTGACACAGCTCCAGCCCTTCCCTCAAGTCCTGTCACTGGTCACAGAGAGAAGAGATGGATGCTGCCTCTCCCTGTCCCCCGGTGAGGAAGTTGTAAGACAGCGATGTCTCACTTTCTGCAGGTTGGACAGACCCAGTGACCTCAGCCACTCGTCACAGATCTTCCCCTCCAGCCCCTCCACCGTCCTCATGTCCCTCCTTTGGACACATTTAACAGCTTTAGATCTTTCCTATATCACGGTGCCCTAAACTGCACGTAGTTTTGGGCGCCACTGTACACCAGGCTCGTGACCAAAACCGGATCCTGCAGATTAACTCACTTGACAAGTGAGTTTCAGGGCTCATCGGAAAAGTGAAGCTGCGTGATTGAACAGGGCTCTGAGGCTTTAATGCCTGTGCCCCAGAGACGAATTATCTTCATATCCATCTACTGAAACCATGATTGTAAGTTTAGCTGCACAACAGCAATAACAGACCGATCTTATTCTACATCATTTTGTTACGGTTCTCGTCATTATTTTGTTTTTCCTGCGTGTAACTGGTAGATGATATAAATATTTCAAAATCATTAAAGATTCATTTGGGTCTGTCTTAAGATTCCACGTTTATTTCCCTGAGTCTTCTCAAGGTGCAAGGGGAGGGCACTCTGTGTCACCAGGAAACACGACCCGGCGTTCAAAGGTTATTCCAGCCTCTCTCACTCCTCCATATTATGGGATTGTGTGCAATTAAAGTGTCTTTGCAAACAAGTTGCTGGTTGTTTTATAATCTCCGTTCGAAGGGTTTGGTTTTCAGCAGGGTTGTCGGCGGCTGTCGTTTCGTGGCGTTGTCATCAGAACAAGCTGCTCTTGTTTTTAGATTAGGAGTTGAGGCCCAATCCAAATCCCCTCGTATCTGAGAGGAGAATGTTTTCATTTTCGTGGTGGATTGGACATTAGATCCACCACAGGAACAGAACAGAACTCGTAGAGCAGGTGACCTGTATCGAGGGTGAAGGTGCAACCGTGAGAAAACTGACCTACTTCTTCCTCTGACATATTTTTTTCCTGGAGATAAATAATGGATTCAGTTGTTACACTTATCAGGAACAAAATACTTTCTAAGGAGGTGGCAGACTATCCTCGTGAAAGCAATTCAGTGTTACCTGGCTCCCTGAAACTCTCAGAATAAGATAAAAAAAAAAGGAAAAGTTTGGCTCAAGGAAATGAACATCGTGGAGAAAAAACACAGAGGGGAGTCTGGTGGTAAGAACACTCTCTTGTCCCAGGCTGCCTTAGGATCCTGACCTTGGAATCACCTCTTGCTCTCCCCCTTCCTCTCCTTTCTGCACCTCTTCCAGTCTGGGGTGGAATGTGCTGCCACTTCTTCCTCTGCAGTGACTCCCTGAAACTCTGCTCATGAGGGCATCTGCATGTCCTTAAGTGGAAGCTGAAATTGATGTTTTGGGAAACTTTGCAGCTGATGATGAAGTGGTTTGTCAAGAACTCGGCATCATCCCACACCAGCGTCCTCAAACTTGTCCTGGAGATAAAAAGCCTGCACTTAAAGTGGGAGGGTCACCAGTGGATTGCTGAGCGTGTTTGCTTTTTCCCTGAGAAAACAAACGACTCTTCGGTGTTCAGAAGCAGCAAATTCATCTGTAATTTGTGTGCCACTTGTTTCTTTCTGTACTCCACTACTAAACACGCTCCAAGGCTTTTCTTCTGGAAAATGTTAATGCATTGCTTTTCTCTATTAAATAATTTCCTTGTTAGACTCCTGGATTCCTTACACATGCAGAGTGGGAGTGCACGTGAACTGACACACTCTGCACAACCTGTCTTCCAGCACAGCTCTGAGATTAATTACTGGGAGGCAATTCCTTTGAGAAATCACCATATTCAAACACGACACCTATCCCAGGGAGCGAAGCTGAACCCGTGTGTTTCTTTTCTCCCATAGTGGATGAATTCCTGGGATTTTGGTTTCTTCCACCATGTTTCATTCCTGAATATTGGGAGACTTCATGTAGAGCAGCAATAATACCAGTTGCTTGGCATCCCAAGGACATCAGATCCAAATTGATACTATAAAAAAAAATGTATCTTCTGAAAAAATAGAAACATGCTGTTCCTGGGTACGTAGAGGAAGAAAGAGCTTCATTCCTAGAATTGTTTGGGTTGGAAGGGACCATAAAGATCATCCAGTTCCACCCCCTGCCATGGGCAGGGACACCTTCCACCAGCCCAGGTTGCTCCAAGCCCCGTCCAACCTGGCCTTGGATGCTTCCAGGGATCCAGGGGCAGCCACAGCTTCTCCTCAGCAGTCCATAAGGTGGTATCTGGAAAAAGGTTCTTCGCCTTCAGTCTTGCCCAACAGCTCCTGCCTGTGCTCTCCAAGCAGTGAGAGAAAGCAGTCAGTGAATGGATGGATATTTGTTTCCTCTGATCCTCGCGGAATTTCCACCAGGGCCGTGAGTGCTGGGGACGGTCCCTGCAGAGCAGTGAGCAGCTCGTGCCCACCCAGAGCCCTGGCTGGCAGCAGCTCCTTCCTCAGGGCTCTATTTTCAGCCCTGCACTAATTTTGAACCCTGCTGGAGCTGCTTGCCCGTGGTTAATTCTGCAGGGCCTCGTTTGCCCCTGTGCTGAGCACTTAATACCCCCAGCCGGGATCAACTTAGAGCCCGGGCACATCCAGAGGTCACAGCGTGGGGGCAATGCTGGCACCACGGCCACCTGGGAAAGGAGATGTGGTAAAAAGACATTTCAAACATCTCCTACCTGCCTGCCTGGAGCCAGGGTCCCATCACAGGAGGGGGACTCTGGCAGCCTCCTCCTGCTCCTGCTGCTCCAACAGCTCAAAACATCTTTTCCTGCCTTGTACAAAATAGTTTGCCTTGACAAAATAGCTTCCCATCCTGGAGCCGGCCCCAAGGAGGAGAGAGTGGGATATTATCCTCAGGGATGGAACCATCACTCCAGTGCCATTCCCAGCACCACAGGAACAGCTCCTGAGGCACAACACCACTGTCAGCCATTCCTCATCTCCAGCTCTGCAGCTCCTGAGGAACAGCCCGAGCTGTGACCCTGTGCACCTACGAACCGCGGGCAACCGGCAGCATTTTCCATGTAAATAAAGAACACAGACGAAGGGCAGGTTGCAGGACTCCTGTTTCATTCGTGCACTCACACTGTTTCAAAGGCAACACAGCCGTCAGGCTGATGAGTGCAACAGGTTATTCAGATTTACTTCTTTTTCCCTGGCTTGGAGTGGTAGATGTGTATCAAACCCTTGGAATGGGACGGGCAGGAAGCACTGGCAGCTCTTACCGAGAGGGGCTTCCCCCAGCTAGGGATGAGCCCCCTCTCATTTAAAGGAACACTTGTGTTCAGCACTTATCTTCAAAGTGCTGTGCAAACATTAATTAATGACTCTGTTATTGCCAGGGGGAAGAGCTGGCAGAGGGAGGGGTGACAGCTCTCCCTGCTTCCCTGGGAGCCAGACCTTCCTTCCCTGGCTGGGAGGAGCGGGATGCTCCGGAGAGCTCCAACAACTGCAGCTCTGGAGGAGCTGGCGGTGGGTTTTAAGTGCCTGCATTAATAATAGGAGGGGGTTTAGCCTGTGAGATATTTTTATCTGTAAGATTATTTATTTTTAAAGTCCCTGGACTATGTTTAGGAGGATAATGGGTCGATAGCATTTACAGCCCAGCAGGTTTTCCCGGAAGACTCATCCCACCATGCCTTGTCCTTCCTCAGGCAACCCCAACCAGGGAGACCCCAGGGAGGAGCTGGGTGAGTGCTGAGAGGGTTTTGAGTGTTGTCATGATCTAATTAATGAGCAGATGAGATCTTTCTATCCACCCATATATCTTTATATTCATTAAACCCTCTCCAGCAGTCACATTTGGGTGATGCTCGGACAGAAATCAATTTCTATTGGGACTGTTGGTTTGCTTTTCCCAGATGATTTCTTTTTAAAATGCATTTTTCTCCTAAGGGCACTTTGAGTAGAACTATATTTACCACAACTCTATAACTATCCAAAGAGAGAAGGAGTTCTCTCCAACTATTTCACCGCTTAAACATCACAGGAAAGCAACCAATAACTACAAGGCAGAAGAAACTGAATGAGAACAAAAATCAAATCGAATTCCAAGCTGCAACTTAGATGGCTGAGCAAGGTGCAAGAGCCCAGAGCAAAATGGAACCTACTCAGTGTCGTCATCCCAAGAAATGCTGTTGGGATTGCGGAGCAGCCCAAACCCCTGGCACAGGGATAACCTGGCACAGAACCCTCCTCTCCTCACGAGCCAGCACGTGGTTATCCCCCTAAACAACACCCTGAACCTCTGCTAAGAGTGACCTTCGGGAACTCACAGGCAGCCCTTTCCAAAAGGGGTGTTACAACATCGCTATTTCACCTCAGCGTTCTGCAGTCATCGCACAGGGGGAGGTGTTCGCGTGGGAACAAATCCGGGACCGCCTTGTTCCAGGTCTCCTGGGGGATGCACAAAGGCCAACCCTGCCTGCCAGCCCCTGGAAAATCACCTCATCCACCCCAGCCACAGCAAGGATGGACCTGACCCAGCATTCTCCTTTTCCTATGGCAGGTTTGTGTTATGGTCTCGCCATACAGGGGATATTTTGGGGACATTTCTGCATTTTAAGGCCTTCTCCTCCATAAATATAAACCCTCAGGCCTGGGCTGAGGGACCAGCATCACCCCTCCTCCAGGTGATTTGGATGTGCTTCAACCCAGAGAGTCACTAAAGAGCAAAAACTGCCTCAAAAGCAAATTAAAGCTCCTCTAATTCCACCACAGCAGGGTCTGGCGGGGGTGGGCGGTGACTTCCCACTGCATTTCGACTCATTGCCATTCAGTATTTTTAGCTCCTGCCCTCCTGGTGGGATGCAGCTCCTGGTTCCCTTGCTGCCAGCTCTGTGCCAGAGCTGAGCCCTTCCCCAGGCAGCCCCGTCCCCTCCTGCCCTGCCTGTGGAGAGGGGCCAAGGCAAACACCGCTCTCCTCACCCCCCTGGGTCCTGGCCAGCCTGCACATGCTCCAACACTCTTAAATCTGTAGCCAGAGAAATATGTTAATGGACAAATTAGAGTCATTGAAACATCTCCATCCTGCTCATCTGGGTCCTATTGACAGCAAGGGCTTGAGGACTCTAAAACTGAGACACTGAGCAGGAAACCGAGACATGCCAGACCTCTGATCCACCAGCAGAGACCTCTGGGTGATGGACCTTGGAACAGATTCCTGGGGTGAGGGCTGGGCAGTTGCCAGCCCGGTGCCCACACTCCAGACGTGGATGCCAAAGCCCAGGGGCACACGGTGAGTCCCTCCCTGCTCCAGAGCTTGGCACAGAGGGGGCCCTGCATGCCCATCACCAGGTCCCCCCCACAGTCCACTCCAAAGGCTTTGGCACCTGCTGAGCTTGGGGCCACACCAGTGGCTCGTGTGAGCAGGATGTGACCCCACAGCAGGGTGGGGTGAGAGAGGAGAGTGCCCAAACACCGTGAGCAGCACCCAGGGGAGAACCACAACATGGGGCCCACCCTGCTGTGACAAGGGTGACCCCCCTGCCCTCTGGAAGTGGGCACAGTGCTGGTCACTTGGGCCCTCAGGTGTGGATGGTGCCCACACCTGTGGGGCTGGATGACCCCCTGGGCAGTGCTGGACCACCCCTGTCCCCACACGTGCCAAGGCTGATGCCCTCCCAGCACCGCTCTGCCCCAGGCTCCCCTCACTCCCCGGGGTTCACAGCAGGCTGTGTCCCCCCAATTAGTCCTGAAAATTGGGGTGACAACACCCCCGGGTGCCAGGAGCACGTGGAGAAGGAGATGCTGCAAAGCACACCCACATGGGTGGGGCTGGGCCAGTGGGTGCCCGTCCTGCTGGGCAAGACACACGGATGCTGTGACACCCTCAGCAGCTCAAAGACCCCCAGACACGGAACCCCCTGCCAGCACTGACTTACGGGTGGCAGCCGTCGGCATCCTCGCAGCCTCGGGGGTCGCAGGGGGCTCTTGGCAGCAGCCCGTGGCATGGGAGCCCATGGCACGTCCCTGGGCGATCAGCGCCGGCCGGCTCGGTCCCCTCCGCTCCCCGGGAAGGGCTGGGGGGAGCGGGGCAGCGCTGCGCTCCCCGGCATCGCTGCAATCACCACGGCAACCGCGGGTGACTCACGAGCCTTTCCGAGTGACATCAGAGATGCGGAGGAGGGGGCCGGGGGCTGGAGGGCGATGCCGGGAGCAGATATTCCCGGTTCGGTTTTGTTGGGCGAAGCTGGAAGGTTTTGTGCACGGAAAACACGCAGATCCATCGCCCCCCTCCCCGCCCAGGGCAGCGTCTCGCCGGGATCTTGGCGTTATTTCGCGGGAGACCCAGGCAGTCAGGAGGGGAGGAGATACTGGAGCCCGTCCAGCTCTGAAAGCTGCCCGGTGCTGGGACTTAGATTCTGTTCCAAAGAACCCCGACCAGATTAACAAATTCAGTTGAAAATTACTTACTTTGACGGGTTTCCCCTTGGTCCCAGGGGTGTAAATAGCGGGGGAGTCACCTCGGAGGGGGATGTGCTGGGCTCCTTGTCCTCAGCCACGCTGCTCCCACACTTCATCCCTGTGGAACCTGCCCTGCAGCTCCCAGCACTCGTGGTCGTGGGAGCAGAAAGGGGACCTTGCTTGGAAACCAGTCCCGAGCAGGGAGGAATGTTTGCTGGGCACACACACACACAGGGGGTTGGGATCAGCTCACAGACGCTTCCCACCAGACATTGTTCTGAGGGATTTGGCAGCAGGTTTGCTCAGGGCCCTTCCTCACCCACCATCTGCAGCTCCGTCCCCTCACGGCCTCCCTCTGAGCCCGGTGAGACAGAGGGAGGTATTTTTAGCAGGGTGAGAGTCCTGCACGAGGCTCTGTGCAGAGCAGGAGCAGCGCTGGGTCAGCCAGCGGCGCAGCAGCTACACCATCTCCAGAGAATAAACTTCCATCGACCTTCCCACGGGAGCGGCTCCAGGGGCATCACTCAACACCCCCCACCAGACAACCTTCTGGGGGCTCCTGGGCATTCCCTGCTGGCCTCAGGGAACCCAACGCTTGGGGCTTTTATTTTTAGCCCAGTGAACTATAAATACAGCCCATGGTAACCCACGGGAATCCGAGCGATGGCTCAGCCCAGGGGAGCCCGTGGTGGCCAGAGCTGCACCACCAGCTCTCCAGATCTCCCACTTCCAGACACCTGGCCTGGATGGAAATACCTCAAACCCCTTCTGGGTTGGGCTGCACCAGGCACGACGTTGCTGCGAGGGGGAGAGGGGGCTGGCAGGAGGAGTGGGCTGCTGCCTGTTCCTGGCAGCAGATGGGAGAGGGGGGCTGGGGAAGGTTCACCGGAGGCCAGAGCGCAGATTTCAGGGAGGATTGTGCATTTTTCCTTTTTAGGTGAGTGTTCCCATGTGGGAGCAGGGGAGGAAGGCACTGTCTGTGAGGGAACCAGGAGTAGGGGTGTCCAGGCAGAGAGCACCCCGTGATTCATCACAGGCAGCCTGGCAACCAGCTCCTGTGCAGGGAAAGCACAGATGGAGCAGGGATGCTGCAGCACTGATCCAACAGCGTGGAAATAGCTGCCTGGGGTCCTTTTAAGGATGATTTTGAAGGCTCTGAACTACTGCCCTTCTCTTGCACGCTCACAAAGGAGCTGTGTGGGGTGTGGAGATCTAGCAGCCCACAGTGCCTGGATCAGCCCAGCTGGGACCATGTGACCACCTGGGAACAGAGTGAAAAATCAAATTCCACGTGCCAAGACACCCAGAGAGATGTCCCAATGCCCTCTCTGGCCCTCTCAACAGGCAGGGGCTGGGGGGGGTGCATGGCTGGAGACAGCAGGGGCAGCTCAAACTCTGCTATTCCAAGGTTTGTCCTGCACAGTCACTCCAGGAGGAGCTCAATAAATAATTCAACCCAGCTCCAGGGGTGTGGGAGCTGCTGCAGGCCTGGGACTCCTGGGCATGGATTCCCTGTGGAGCAGCCCTTGCTCAGAGGACAAACAGAGGTTCACTGCAACACAAATGTGGTTTATGCCCGAGCCACGGCTCATAAAAGCCGAGAAACCACATCATGCAGAAGCGCTCCCAGTCTGCCAGGAATAATTCTGTCTCAGGGTGCACCAGCAGCCACACACACACACCTGCACAGCCCCAGAGACTCAGCCAGCCCTCCACAGGGAGGAGGAGTGAAGCCTCCACAGCCACTGCTCCCACTGAGCTCCCAGCTCCACACAGTCACTTCCCAGAGTGGGAGAGCTCGTTATGCAACTGCTGATGGCATCGGTAACCAAACCTGTTTGAGCTGCAACTCTTCCCTGGGACAGAGCAGGGGAGCAGCACTGCTGCATCCCAGGGTACAGGATGGCTGCAGGACCCCACAGTGCAGGGTTGGCATCCCACCTGCAGCCCAGCACCCAGAGCAGCCACCGGGCACTGCAGCTCTCAGCTCAGGCCTCGTATTCAGGCACCAGCTCCTCGGCCAGGCATCTGCTTTACACCCCTGGCATCGAGAGCTGGTCACCTCTCCAGGTTTATTTTGGTCCAGCACATCTCGAGTTACCCACGTCCCTCCCCCAGCTCCTGCAGGGCCTGGATTCCTGGGGACACTGGATCCACAGGGCCAGGCTCAGGTCACGCTCACTGGCACTCGTGCCAAGCTCACACATGTACAACACAGCCCTGCCCACTCTCCAGCCATTTTCCACAAACAAACCACTGGAGCAACATCCAGTTCTCAACTGCAGGTCCTGCATTTGAAGCGAGAGCTTTCCAATAGGAGAACAAAAGAATTTCTCCATTAATTCTGCCCCAAACCCAATTACCCTCCAGCAAATCATCCCCAGCAGCTTCCAGAGCTGCTGCTTCCTTTGGCCAATTCCTCTCAGAACAACAGCAATTCCAAAAAAAAAAAAGGCATGATCGAGCACGGAGGGAACAATGGGATTGTCACCGAGGGAACTCCCCAGGGCAGCATCTGCTGCTTCCTTCTGTCCCACAGAATCACAATGGCTTGGGCTGGGAGGGACCTTAAATTCATCTCATTCCACCCCTGCCAGGGGCAGGGACACTTTCCACCAGACCAGGTTGCTCCCATGAACACTTCCAGGGATGTGGAAAAGGAGCGAGCACAGGGAAGGAGAAAACCTGACTTGTTTGGCAAAGTGCCCCTGGAGGGGCTGGGAACGGCTCTTGCCCCACTGCTGGTGTTGTCAGTGATGTCTCACCTTGCCAACACCAAGCTGATTTTTGCACAAGTGCAACCTGAACTCACCTTCCCCGCCCTTCCTGGCAGGATTTGGGCCTGGCTGGAGGTGGTTCCTGGGCTGGAGCAGCCGCAGCCTCGCTGCTTATCCCTGCTGGAGAAAGCCGGTGACACCTCCCTGTGCTGAAATCACCCTTCACACTGAGAGCTGACAAACCCCACGCCAATTACAGCCCAGCCTGTCACTCACACAGCAGCACTTGTTCATTTTTTAGGTGTGGGGCTCTGCCCAGACCTGCTGTACCAGTTTGGGTTCAGAAGTACCATTACCTAATGATACACCCCAAGCTGCTTTAAGGGTGTTTTGTTTTCATTTTAAATTAGTGGAGAGCTGGACCTTTGAATTGTCCTGCTGCTGATCTGGGCATTACAGGCAATGCCAGTTAGGGCCACCTGACACCACAGATACCTGCATTTAACACCACATTTACCAGCCTGCCCTGAGCAAGCAGTGCTTGGATGTCTCATCCACTAATCCCCCACCTCTCACGGGATGCCATGACAATGACTCTGAACTCCCCAGCAGTTGCTGCAACCTGTGCTACATAAACAGGCTGCTGGGGGGGGGTTCCTTGCCCTAAACATTCTGGGAAAATGATGATCAATAAAAAACCAAATCCCCAAAAAACTCAAATGTACTCTAGAGATCCTGTCTCATTCAGAGAAATAATCTCACACACTTACACTCATCATCAGTTGTCTCCAAGGCAGCTGCAGACAAAGGCCAGGGCTTGGTGGCTCTTCCCAGCTCAATCCCAGATCTCCAGCAGCCCAAAGGGAATTTCAGTTACATCATGTGTGAGTTGCTGCATCCCACCAGCTGCTCCCTGCTGGAGCTGTTTTCCTTAATGAGGGTTCCCTTGTTGGGAAAGAAAGGGCTTCAATTTGTCAGTCAACAACTGTCAAGATAAATTCCCTCTCCAAAGGCACCGGAACATCCCAGGGGATCACCAGATCTTGGTTCACAAAGCCCTTGCAATGAATCTCCCCAAATGCAACTCTTCCTGAAAAACAGAGGAATAAATTCCAGGTGCAAACCCAGCTCCTGCACAAATTCTGTGGAAGTTTCCTGACCAGTTCTCGAAATACAAATATCCCACTTTTGGAGAAACAATCCCAGCAACCCTCAGGCACAAGGAAACACAGGACAACAGTGTGGATCCTCTGCTGCTCCTGCAAATGATGCTTCAGGACACCTTGTAATAAATCAAAAAACTTTATTTTTATGATATATTATAAATGTACAACACACATGACATCAGTGTCTCGGTGTGTATGTGTGAGCAGGTTTAAGCCTCGGGATTCATTCCAGCCCTGGCCGTGGGTCTGACACCTCCACACTCAATAATGCCAGCCTGGACAGGCCTGGCTTGGCCAACACCTCCCTAATTTCCAGGAATACATTTCAGCAGACAACAGCAACTGCTTAAAACCATCACAAATTAGCAGTATTCCTTTGCTTTTTTGGTTTTTTTTTTTGCCTGGAGGGAGCAAATCCTGCTGGTTTTTTTCCCCACTCGGGGAGAGGTCGGCGACCCGCGGGGAGCGTGGCCAGAATGAATCCCGAAATTCCACAGGCTCATCCGCCCTAGTTAAGCTTCAGGAAAGTAACATTACGCCTTAGGAAGAGCTGTGCATGCCACACACTGCTGGCAGTGCCAGATCAAAGTTATCCTACGTGGTACCTAATTATTGGATACACAGGTGACAGGAGAAGAAACGTGACGTCAGTACCTTTGCGATATCGATTCACCGGTGCTGCCTCGTGGGAAGTGCTTGGGTAGCAAATCACATTCGTGGACAGTTCGTTAAGCCATGATAAAAATATGCAAATTAAAAAAAAAACCAGAATAAAATCTCTCCAGGCCTCTGTTACCTGCTGCAACAAAGACACTTGGGCTTGTGGGGCTTCGCTTAAAACGTGATCCAATTTCCTCCCTCTCCCCGGAGCACGATATAAAACTATACCCAAATTCGGTAAGAATTGAATGCATTTACATTTATTGAAGTTCACACACGCTGCAAACAGGGTCTGCATTGGAGATCTTCAAATCTAGGGCAAGAGGTCCTGAAAAAACCCCTTTTGCTACACCCAGACGTCGGGATGGAGGTGAGAACGACCACCAGGAGAGCACATTCACGTGGACATGATTTCCTCTGCAGGGAGGTGGGGGTTGCACCCACTGCCCTACACCAGCCAGCATAAATCCCTCCCAACTGTCCCAGGGAGGAGGATACAGGAGTATCCCAAACCTCAAAGCTCAGGGACTCACAGTCGGATGGAAGCGCCGCTGTTCTGCGAGTTAATAAAAATGTTATTTATTATTAAAAGTAGAAAAACAGGGCGGTTACTTTGGATGAAACACTCACTGTCCTATGCACAAGACTTTGGGAAAATTGCCCCTGGAGCAGGGATCACAGGTAACCTCTGTGTCCCTCCCCCAGGCAAGATCTGCTGACAGTGTCGCTGTACATTCGTTTGGTGCGATGCTGACTTCAACAACTTCCAAAATATATTAAAAGATCCTCAGCCCACGAATCACAATGCCTAAAAAAATTCATTTTAACAGTCCTAACTAAAAAAAAAGGATTTCAATAACCACTAAAGTGTTGCTCGGATATGAAGATCAATCTCCAAAAGACAAGTTTGGTTCCAGGAGAGCGAGGAAAGAAATGGGGGGAGAGGGGGGGTCAAGGTTTGGGACACGTCTGTGACAGAGGCTGCGAGGAGCCAAGGGAAGCCACGAGCTGCAGGTCTTGGAGCTTGTGCAGGAGGGAACCTCGCACCTTCCCAGAGGAGGGATGCACTGCTGGCTGCTTTAGGAACCATGCAAGGCAATTTTCCAGCTGCACGGAGAACAGAAACGTCCTTGAGATGGAGCGAAGGGCAGCGAGCCGGGAAGCAGCTGGGTTATCCCGGGGGATCGTGTCCAGGGAGTGAGGCAGCAATCCTAAAGGAAGACTCATGCCACTGCTCACAGGGAGAGAAGGAATGGCAGATTCTTTGGACTGGACCAGGGGCTGGGGGTTAGCAGGAGTTCCACAAGCTCGGGCTCACAGGTCAGGACAATCAAGGTCCAAGCTGAAGTAGCCACTGGCCTTTTTTTTTTCTCCAAATACATCCCTTTAAATGCATCCCCCCTAAAAAGAGTATAAATACGAAGCCCTGAGAACAAACTTCCATAGAGTACATTTCTATTAAAAATATCAGTGTTCTGATGACAAAATTATAAGTTAGATAAGAGTTAAATAAATAGCTGGTTGGCTTGCAAGAGTCCTGTCACAGCAAAAGGTACAAGATTGTCTCTATATCAGTGGGGACTGCAAGAAGCACAATTTGTCACCTACCACCCCATCTCCTCCCTGCCCCAGCTCACAGGCCTCCAAATATTCCCTAGACCATGTCAGGAGAAACTTAACTGTGACCTGTCCCTGCTGGTTAGAACTTGAACACCAGGTAGACAAGGACAGGAAGCTCAGATCCCTTTTATCTCCCTGGAAGCTCCACAGCCACTCCACAGTCCAACCATGTGCTGCTGAAACCAAACCCAGCATTTCCCAAGCCTTTACATTCCTCAGGACTGTTCCTCAAGTTTGAATCTCTCCTTATCCACTCAAAAGCCAAAAAAAGACCTCCCCTCATCAAACTACAGGGTAGTATTTCCCAACTTTCCCTTCTAAAAACACTCATTAAAAGGAATATTAACCAGAATCCTGATTGGTAGAGAAGGACACGTGGCTCTAACATGAAGAGCTTCAAGTAAAACAGTCTTCTGGTATTATTACAAGAAAAAAAAAAAGCTTCAGGAATAAGGAAAAAAATTGATAAAATAATCAAAACCTCTCATAACACCACAACATTCAGTCACAACTACTCGAGCTCGCTGGGGTGCAGGATCTGCTTCCTGGTTGGAGTTACAGGACAGGGTTATCATTTAATGTCATGTTGTCCAAGTCTGTTCTTAGCAAGAAGCCCACAAAAAATGGTTTTAACTGTCCAATTTGAACAGAAGAAGCATCACTACAAAGCTTGGAATTCCTAAATGCAGAAGTAAATACCTCAGCAGCCCTCAACTGTAAAAGCTTCAGATGAAATTACAAATTGCAAAAAAACAAAACAAAACCCAACAAACCAACAACAACAAAAAAATAAAATCCTGGGATAGTTAAATCAAGATAAAAATCTCAGGCTGTTTTGATTTCCCCACCCTTCATGTTAATGATGAGAAATTGGCAACTTCAGTGCCTCGACTGCAAAACAGCACAGAGCACATGCCGAGCTCAGGCCAAAACTTGTCAGAGGGTTTCAGGTTGCATCTTGTTTAAATGCAAAAAAAAAAAAAAAATACAAACCAACAACCCAACTGCACAGAAAAACCCTCCCACACTTGCTCAGCATTGACAGGACACCTCTGGGCTTGGTTAAGCACAGGGTCTCCTCCTGGTTACTCTGCAGTTTGGACTTGCCCATCCTGCCCTTTCCCAAGGGGCTGTGAAGCACAGGACCTGGCAGGGATGATGGCAGATGTCATTTAAGTTGGAAATAAAGCCCTTTTTTTTTTTTTTTAGCAGACTGTTAAAAAGTAACACCTGCAGAGCCCAGTTGTAAAATCCCAGTGGTGGATATTCCCATTTCTGCTCTTCAAAGCTCAGAATTCCTCTCTCAAACCTCGAGTCAATCTTTCTGGCAAAGTAGGAAAAACCCAGCCTGACATTCTTGGTATGGCCATGGCAAAAATAAGCATAAAGAAACCCCCACTTCTAACTCCAAAGATAACAATTTCAAGCATGCTTTAAATGCCTTAAACAAGATAAAAACCTACGTGGCTCTGCTGCTTTACAGATCAACAACTCCCCCCACCCCCCCCATGCAAATCAGCTGCTTCTTTGTAAACAGAATAAAAACCCCAATAAAAGTCCCTTTCCAAAACTGTGCACGTAAAAAATGGGGCAAAACCCCACTATGTGATCACATCCCCCCCTCCCCTTGCAATGGGATATGGCAGAGTATGAGCTCAGGAACTGCAGCCACGTGGGAAATTCAAGTCTTGCTGTGGTGATTTCTGTGGTGAGAGAGAAGCTGCACCTTTGTGGTACCTGCCAGAGAAGCTCCTGCAAGGACAACCCCTGTGGGACTGCAACAACACTGATGCAGCAAATAAATAGGAAAAAGTAATGCTACTTCTTAGATTTCCACCTCTGAATGATTCTGTTTAAATTAAACAACTTTGGACAGAAATGTGCTTGCTCTCCCAAGATTTTGGGCTTTTAAAAACAACGTTTCCTAAAATCGATTTATTCTTTTTTTTTTACCTTAAAAAAACCCATAAAAGCAGATTTGCAATTTGATCAAGCCATAAATTAATACTGTATGGAGATGATTAATATCCTATGCCAGTGGTCAGTGACCTTTTGTAAACACTAGCCAGGCCCTAGCAAAGCTGGCTAGAAAACTACTGTCACAGGCCTTTGTAACGAGCAGGATCGTCTTTCTTTCCAACAATCAGATTCTGAAGTGTTTTCACAAAACCTTTTCCTATTTTTTTGTGTGTTTTTTGTGTTTGGTTTTTTTTTTTCTTTTTCTGATATACTTTATTTTAAACCTAATACCTGAAAACAGAAACAAGCCTTCAAACCTCTTCCACTAACACTAAATCCACAAGGCAACTCACTCCAGTTGGCCGCAACTACAAAAGCTCTTGGGGGGGAGAGACCCCACCTCAGGATCTCCCCCTCGCCTCCCTTCCCCTTCCAGCTGCCCCCCAGCTCCCAGATTTCCACGGAGTGAGGGGCAGGAGGAAGTGGCACAGTGCACTGGGAACCCCCTCTACGTGCGGTTGAGCGTCTGGAAGATGCGGGAGATCTGTAACATCACCGGCCCGGTTTCGGGGTCGTTCATCCACTGGGTGCTGTTCAAGGGGTTTTCAAGCATATCCTCAAAGGCTGCCAAGAGAGAGATGGGAATTGCAACAGTCAGTCCTTGAGAAGCTCCAGGGGTTTGGGAGGTTTCAGGGCAGTTGGAAATGGTTACAGCTCAAAGGCAGTGGGCAAACGGGACCCAGAAATGGTGGGAATGCACCTCGTCCCACCTGCGCTCCACAGTCTGGGGTGATGCTCCAGTTTGGGCTTTCCTCGTTTCTCAGCATTAAATTCACTGCAGACAGTGATTAAATGCTCAGCCTGGATTACAGTCCAGCCCACAAAACCTCAAGGACGTGGGGCTGAAGAGCTAAAGCCTCAACAAACGTCCCCAGGCGTTTGTCTGCAGGAACATGCCATGCAATCCACCCATTTGGGAAGGCCCATCTGCTGCCAGCACTCCTATAAAACACTCTCCTGCAGCCCCATTCCCTGTGATCGGACATTTTTCCATATCCCAGCCTGGATTTCTTGCACTAGCATCCCTTTTTCCCCTGGTGCTCAACTAAGACAGTTCATGGAAAGCACCATCACCCCTTGCCTGTTCCCTGTGAGGCTCCTCTGGAGAGAAAACTGAGCCAGTAAAAGCAGAAATGCCAAAGGCTACACAGAGCCAGCACAAGTGTTGCCCCTCAAGCCCCCAAATCTCAGAGTTCCAGCTTTTCCAGAGGCCCTGGAGCCACAAGGGAAGTAGCATCTTATTCCTCCTTCCTGATAGAGCAGAGGATGTCAGGGAGGCAGCCAGACACAGGAGGGGAAAGGCTGGGTGTGCAGAAAAAAAAAAATCATTCAAATCATTTAAAAATCATTTTTTTAAGAGCATTTTTTTCTTCTGTCTTTACAATTCTAGCTTTCACTCTGCTCCTCCTGTTGAAGGAACCAGGCAGCCACTGCAGGAGTCAGGCTGCAAATCTGGCAGGAAAACAGGCCAGGCAATGATTTCTAAGCCTTCTGACAGACACTGAGCTGGACTCCTGGACATTTGGAGCCAGTCATTACAGAACAGGACAAAAAAAGCAGCTGCACAGTCACCAAAATGTCAGTGTTGAGTCTGGCACCAAGGTCAGGGTTAGTTTTCCCAGGAGTGGCAGTGCACAAAGCTCAACTGCCATCGGTGGGAGCTGGAAGGGCCCAGCACCTCTGAAAGCCTCCTCATTAATACCTTGCTCAAGGTCATGCAGCACTGCCTTCCAGAAAAGCCCAAAATAAAATACACATCTCACCTCTCACCACTTGAATTATATTCTTTTACACAGACTCATAAGCTTAAAACTAAAGATTTATCAATACTCTGGAAGAAAGCCATTAAATGTAACAACTCATTATTAAAAATCTGTGACATAAGCAATTTGCAGATGTATCACTAGGAATATATTCTCTGACGTTCATCCAAGCTCCTATAATGGCATTTCATTTTCTATTTCTATTCTGAGCTGCAGTGTGGAACCCTGGTTGGAAAAATGAAGAGACCATTTGTTCAGAAATCAGGAGTGGGAAGGTTCTGCTCTTGAATTATTTAAAGGCTTGCAAACTCTCCTAATTACATTTAAAGCAGTATTTTTAAGAGCTCTCTTGAATGAGCTGTGCCTGCAGCCTTTCTTTAAAGGCTTTGCCTCCAATAAATTTCCAAGACAAAGACTAAATACAAAAGTTTAAATGCACATCACAGAGCCAGTCATTGTTCTGTGCTGTCAGAGGCAGCAATTCCTCCCAGCCTGGAGGCTCTGCTGGGGACATGTTGTGCTCCCAGCCTTTCCTGACCATGAACACCCAGACTTCCCCCCAGAGCTCAAACCCAAACGAGGGCAATGTGTGTTTGCACATTTTATCTCCATTTTGACAGGCAAAGCCTTTAGCTCAGCCTTCTTGTTTGGATACTTTTCCACCAGTTATCTTCTGTCTCAGTGATCAGGCCTCGCTCCCAGGGAGCTGCAGAGCAGGACACAGCCTTGTTTTTTCTGGGAAATGATCAGAGTTCGAGACAGACATTCCTGATTTTTCCCCTCGTGGCCAAAGGGAGCACACAAAAGGTCTCCTAAATCCACAAAGGCACTGCAGCCAGCAGCTATTAAAGTTCTGAGTTCAGCAAGTGTAATCCTGGGGAATTAGGATCATTCCTGGGACAGCCCCAAGGTCTGGGTTGAGCTGAGCTGTGGGATGAAGCAAACAAACACCAAGGCTGGAAGGGATGGAAAGGGCCCAGAGCTGCACCAATCCCCCAAAGGGGCTGTCAGCATCCAGGCTCCACTTCCACTGGCTAGAAAACACATGGATGTGCAGCAGGAACCCAGGCACCACTTACCTAGTAGAGTTTTAGGGTTGGTGAGCCCCAACTGTACCACTGGGTTTTCTAAGATGGCTTGGAAGAGAGGGCTGTTGGTGTCAATGCCCTTGTCTAAGTCCTCTGGAGAAGGTTTCCTGTCTCCCAGCAGCCACTCACACTGAAAGAAACCACCAGGCACAACAGATTTTCATTAGAATCCAAGTGTCTCAACATAAAAGTTTTGATAAAGTGGCATTTTAAAGATGCTTTTTCCTCCCCCAGTTAAAGACTGAGCTGTGCATTTCTTTTCCCACCAGTTTAACTCTTTACTTGTACCAGCCAGCCCAGTATCCTCTCTCCAACAGCAGCCAGCACTGGATCCTCAGGGGGAGGAGATTCCTTGGCTGTCAGCTGGGTCCACATAATTTTCCTTAGCCCATCACCCACTAGCAGGGGGACTAATCAATCTTTGAAAACCTTAACATTTTTTTTGACTCCTGAAACCGTGGAAGCATTGCTGCCAAATGGTCATTTCCACACTGCTTGAACCTCTGCTGGCTCATTTATTCCTGCCCTTTAATCAGTTATTAATTACAGGGAACACCTTTTTTTTCCTTTCTCAGGAGAGCACAATCTCTTTTGTGAGGGAATTTCCCAAAAGCTTTTAGGGAGTCCACATGTGCTGTGCTGGACAGATCAGTCCCAGCCTCACACCCCCAGAGCTCCTCTGAGAAGTCTGAACCCTCTGTATTTAATTTGGAAGAGGCACAGGATTTACTGTGCTCCTTGACTCTCCAGCAGCAGCTGGCTTTAGCATAGAGCCAAACATCACCCAATCCCACGAGGAAAAGGAGCAGCTGAAGAGACTTTCAGAGGAGCAGGGAATGGGAACGTCGTACTCACGGCTGCGTTTTGCTGGTTGTTGTTTACTCTGAGCGCATCCACCACTTCCTTCTCATCGAATCCCATCTCCATCAGGGCAATGACAGCCTGCAGGAGAATTGCACAGCTTCATGAGTGTAACGTTTGAAGCAGAAATGAGAGCACTCATGACCTTTCACCTTCTGTGCAGGTGGTTTCTGGGGGGTAAAAACCCCTCACGGTTTCCATTTGGGGACCACTCAGTAATTTTATCAACAAATACCCTACATTAAAAGTGTCCTTAATATGGAAGAAAACTAAATCTTAAGAGTGAAGGTAGTTCTTGTCCTCAACACTGAAAGCTGAATGCAAGGCAAAGAGTACCTGGGGTAGAAGGGAGAGGCACAGGACAAACACCTTATTTTGGAACTCCTCTCCTGCCATAAAGCTCTTGTTCACATCTGAACGATCGAGGTTGATGTGCATTTGTGGTTTTATTCACTCCTGGATTTATTACACTGGTAGTGAGTGTGATGTGTTTGGATAAGAATGTTTCCTTGTTGAGAAACTGCACCAGATCACCAAATGCATTTGCAGCTTTTAACCCAAATCTCAAGTGCCAGATGTCAAAGAGCCCCTCCTGGTGTGAGAACAACATCATCTCACTGCAGCCAGTCCTGTGGTCTGAAAAAAGGGAACTTCTGTGTTTGCTGCTGGGGATACCTTTCCTTGCCCCCTAAATACAATCCCACCTTTCTGTCCTTTTCACAGAACTGCCAGAATGGTTTGGGTTGGAAGGGATCTTAAGAGTTCATCCAGTTCCAGCTCTCTCCCACCTTCCACAAGTCCAGGTCGCTCAGAGTCCCATCCAGCCTGGAATTCTCTACAGCCAAAGGACCTGCTCCTGTCCTGCCACCCTTCCTTCCTACACAGCAGCCTAAAAGGCCATGCCAGGGTTCTCACTTCAGTCCTCTCAGTTTTCAGGAGCAGAAGTAACAGTGTCTCTCATTCAGATCCTGCATTCCCGAGGTAACACCCTTCCCACTCAGAATATTCCGCCACTCGAAGTATCCCTGAATTTAAACTCTCTAAAGGCTTCCACTGAAATCCTGCCAAGCCAGCACGACACACAGGTACCCAGATGTCCCATTTCATTTATCAGCTAAACATTTATTAGGATTTATTATTTATCCTGACTGCCCACAGTCCCTTCCAGTGCTGATGGACGCACAGCACGTACCCGTGGGTCCGGACGGAACTCTCTTTTCCTCCGGATCTTCTTGAATATTTCCGTCAGCTCATCCTTGGCCTCTTCCCCTCCCTCCTCCGAGCTGGGACCCGCAGCTGCCTCAGCAGAGGAGGCAGCAGCTTCAGCTGTGGCTTCTGCAGGAGTCTGGCCTGGCAGGGGAGCATCCACTGAAGGGTCATCTGCGTGTTCTATCAACCACTCCATGGCCTGGGTCACCGACATGCTGGGAAACAAACGGGAACACCGGGATGAGGAACTCCCCTGAGGCACAGCAGGGCTCCACACACCTCTGCCTTTGCTCTTGTTCCCCTGGGATATCGACTTGCAGGTTAATTAGCACCTGAAAAGTCACAGATAAAGTTTTGGAGCTGATCTTGGAACAAATCAGTTCCCTGTGTGCTCAGGGTACCACAATCTCCTCTGTGAAATCTGACTTCTGAAGCAGAAGAAAATGTGATTGAATAGCTGGAAACAGCCTTGTGACCCCCAGACCTTCCAGGGCAATCCAGCCCTGCTTCCCCTTCCCTGTGCCACCTGCACTCTGCCTGAGGCAGCACTGTTCTCTCAGTTAGTGCTTTTCCCAACCTAAATTTAGGTGACCCACATAAGGAAACTTCAGGAAAAATGCAGATTTTTTTTTTTCCCCCAAGCATATGCAGTGATTTACTTACTGATTTAACCGGAGGGCCTTGACAGCTCTGCTCTCTGGGAAGCCCATCTCTGTGAGCTGTCTCAGAGCTATTTCATCCACTCTGTCCTCCTCATCCTCATCCAGCATGGCTGCACACACACAAACAGAACAATGCTCAAACTGACTGCAGGCTCAAACAAACCCCTGTGTCAATGCAATGGCATGTGGGAAGTTCAAGCCCCATTCTCTCTTCCATCCCTTCTTTTGTTCCTGCCCCCCAAGTTCGCCACCTCATCGTTTAATTTGCTGCTCTCAGCTCAGTCTGGCTCAGAGAGATTCTTCCAGGACAAAGACTTTGCCCAGATGTGTTCAAGATCTCAAACAAAAGGCAGTTAACTCACACATGACCAGGGGATTGCCCCATAATCAAATATGTGAGATTCACTGAAGATCCGTTGATCCAGAAATTAGGTTGGATCTTGTTGTAGCAGCTCTCAAGGATGAGCATTTCCCACCAGCTGAATCAAGAGCCACAGTTTCTCCTCATTTTACTATCTCCTTGTGCATTTTCAACTATTCTTTGCCATTGCTACTGATTATCTCTAAATGGACTTCCCACCCACCCCAAAGGGACCTTACAAATCCACAAGTTTTGTACAATCTACAGCCACAAGATGAAACTTCGGACACAGAGTTTGCAGCGGGTCTGAAATTCCCTCTGAGCCCACTCCTGTGTTCTGGAAGCAAACAAATCCCCAGGATTGAGTTATAAAGATATGTTCATACCATTTGCCTTCTTAAATAGTTCAACTGCATCCGGGTTCAGTGCTAACAATTTCTGTGCAACTTCTATGAGAGACACCAAGATCTTCCGGAGCTCTGTCTGGAACTGCAAGAAAGGAAACTGTCAAAACATTTAGACAGGACGTTACCAGACATTTATTAGGGCTTTATATTCATTCTTTAGTCTCTCAAGAAGCCTTTCCTGGGAAGTGCTACCTCCTGGGCAGAAAGGTCCTTTTATTTCTACCCCATGGGTAGTGGTCAAGGAAGAGGGGAAAAAAAAAAAAAACACTGCAAACACCTGAACTATTTAAACCTGAAGAAACAAACCCCTCTAATTTAACACCTGCCAGACCTTGAATATGTTCTGAGGCTTTGCCATGAACAAAACATTTCAATCATAAAATACAAATAAAAGTCCTAAAATCAAAATAAGAAGATCATACTAAAATCATCCTGTGATTCCATGATCATTTAGAAACAGCGGGGTTTTTTATCACTAAACAGCATAAGCTGTGTCTAAACTTTGAGTCACTTATTTTAATATGCATTATACACATTTGAGTTTTTCTTAAAGGAGAAAGGTAAAATGTGTCAGAGGCTGTTTGGGTGTCAGAGTGGGGGTTCAGTGCAGTACTTACATCCCTCATGCTGTGATGGGCCACGGTGCGGTCGGCGCTGCGGGAGGGCAGGTTGGCAGTGGCTTTGAGAATGGCATCCTTGTCAGGAGCCTTCTGCTCCTGCTTCCTCTGCAGGGAAGGGAACAGGAGCAGGTTTCATAACCCATTATCCACAGATCAGAGAACACAGCAGTTTCAGACTCTCCACCAAGGCACCAAGCAGTGCCCTGTAGCTTCAACACCACGGACTAACAGCACCGGTGTCACTCTGCGGTGACAGAGCTAAGCTGGGCCTGTTGGCTGCCCCACTTCCACTCCTCACACCTACTGCTGTTATCTGAACAGGCAGGGAAATTCCAGCAGAAAGAGGGAGATGTATCACAGAGGTCTCAGTGCCCAGGACCGTATTCTGCTCCCCAGGGCCTGCTCACAGCTCAGCTCATCCAGAGCTGCACCAGCGCTGGGCACAGGAAACACTTCCCTGCTGATCCCTGGGGGAGCTGCACTGCCTGCCAGGATCATGCAGGGAATCTGCAGCACATGCTCCTGAGCCAGCACAAAACATAGCAGGGTCCAGGCTATAAATATTCCCAAGCCTCATAACTTGTGCTCTTACAGTGACATTCTGCACAGCAAGACCACACTGAGGAGAGAAAGGGACACAATCCCTGCAGGAAGGGATGCACAGACACAGCAATCCCTGCAGGAAGGGATGCACAGACACAGCAATCCCTGCAGGAAGGGATGCACAGACACAGCAATCCCTGCAGGAAGGGATGCATGGACACTCCCGTGCAAGGATGAAGAAGAGACACCCAGGAATTCCCCATTTCGAGCACAAAGCACTCCCTGAAGTGTTCATGTGGTTTTTGTGAACTGCAGTAACACTGGTGCACAAACAGCATCCTTGGGCATCACTGACCCTCAGGAACAATTACACACCAATAAAGTGAAATAAACCAAAATAAAACACTAAGGGGTCAACACTTCAGCTCTAGAGACCTGATTAGAGTGTGGCTAAAGGCAGGAAGACAGCAAGTCAACACATTTCTTTGGGTTTTCCAACAAAGCAAGGCACTTGCTGAACTATATTTATGAAGTTGTTAAGACATTTGTTCAAAGATCAAATCTATGCCATTTCCTCAGAGTGTAGCTGCAGGTCTTATTTTAAGGCAAATGTTCTCAGAATGACAGTTAAAAAATGTAAAATCAGTTTCCTCTGAGTTTGAAAGAAATATGAAGTAATTTTCCCAGAATTTAATGGCAGCATTTACCTCTGTAAGCAAACAGAGTACAGCACAGCAACCCTTCCACATATCATCAGTAAAGCAGTTAACCAAAACTGCCAAGCTGAGAAGTGTTTCAAACTCACCTTCTCCTCTGCAGACACATCTGCCATTTTGGGGAGTGGAGGTGGTGCACGTTTCTTGATCAAAAGCAACACATCTACAAAGAGAATGACACAGCAACACATTAGAAAGGATGTGAGGACAGTTCCTGTAAGATAATTCACAAATTCAATTGTTCCTGGAGATGGATTTTGTATCAACCCCACTGTAGCATCAGACCTTTTTCCCCCTTTATGACCTGGATGGCTTCACACAATTTCTTGGTGCACAGAGAATTCAAAACTGGGCCCAGGATTAGTTACACTTCATTTAACCGGTTTCTCTTCCTCACTCACCACCCTTAAAGAAAGGGTATTACAGGTTCCAGATGTCTTGTACAGAATTAGTACAGCTCATGATAATAAGAAAAGAATCAGCACTGTCAGAGCTTGCACTGAGAAGGAAGCAGCAGAGACAGGCACAGATGGGTTTTGGTCTAAGCTGGGGCCCTGCAACAGCAGCCAGGCCAGCCCCAAGAACTTCCTTTTCCAACAGCAGCCAGGCCAGCCCTAAGCTCCAAGAACTTCCAGCCCCAGGCTGAAGCTCACACTGGTGTGTGAATGGCAGGAGTTGTTCACATCCAGGCAGCACCCCTGGCAGCCCACCTGGGCAGACAAGTCTTCAGTCTCACATCACCTGGCACTAGCTCTCTTTGGGTTTTTAAGATTAATATTCTTCCTTTCAAGGCAGCCTTTTTGTGGAGATCATGAGATGATTTGTAGCCACAGACAATCTGAGGGAGGAGGTGCAGCCACTGCTCAGAGCCCAAACCTGGGCAGCCCCTGAGCCTTCAGCCAGGCCTGACTGAGGGGCAGTTTTCAGTCCACTGCACTGGGCAGGTACAAAGCAAACCAAACATGCTCTGCATGACAAGTTTCTTGGTGTGGCTCAGCACAGAACAGCCAAGAGCAGCAGCTGGTGAGGGCTGTGAACCCTCCTGTCCTCTGTGCAGCTGGTCAGACGTGACAGGAGCCCTGCACAGGCAGCCTGGGGCACTCAGCTGTCACTGGGATCCCTGTCCCTGCCAGGCAGGAGCAGGGAAGGCAGAGCACACACTGCAGAGGGAAAAGGAGTGGAGAGGCACTCAGTCACCTGACAGCTTGCTGGGATACACAGCTCCTGCTGCCTGGCCATGCCAACTGCAATCCAACACTCCACAGGAGCTGGGAAGAACACCCTCCCCCAGCAGGAACAGGCCCTTGCCTTTGCCCAGGATGGCACTTCCCAGCTCCTGTCAGTGCCAGGTGACACTGCCTTGGAAGGGAAACCACGGCAGCAGTTCCCAGGAAGAGGCAGGGACTCTACTCCTGCAGAGTTTCTGGTTCACACAACATTTCAGTCCTGCTTCTCTCGCTCTCTGACACTGCCCCGACTCCAAAAGGGGCCATTACCTTAAGCTGTCCAGTAAAAACTGACTCCAGCTCTCTTGCTTAGGTTTTGTTTCACATTTAGAGCTCAGGAGCAAATACACACCCCACAGACTCTACTGTGGTCAGTGAGACCACAGTGCAATGGATTTTGACCCGTTTGCAGAGGACAATGAGGTGTGAACTCCACTCAGATTGCAGCAACCACCCTCCTGCTTCACCTGGACACCCTCAAGAAACCCCCCAGTGTGGTTCTTGAAGCCATAGGACTGTCCTTGAATAACTTTGAAGGGTAAATGCTGCCCTGGAGGTTAAAAAAGTAACTTTAAAAGGAGATAAAATAATCAGTTTAACTTAATGATGATGGCTCTTAATTCCTTTTCAACCCTTAAAAGCAGGAATGAAGAAAAGGAAACTCCTCTGGAGAGATAAGGAAGTGGGTTTTTTCCCCTTTTTTTTTTTGCCACCTTAGCTTCCTATGTCAAAGCAGAGAGCAGATATTAAAAATGCTCCTGCTTGGAACTTGCCAAATGAAACAGGACCTCCTGCTTCCAGACTGATGGGATTAAAACCCAGACAATCTTACCTCGATCTTGAATATTTTCCTCCAACACTGTTTTTGTGTCTGTCAGCACCTTCTCAGAAGTGGCATGGATCAGCTTGTGATGTGTCACAGTTTTGGGATCCTCCAAGCTCCCGGGGACACACTGCAGAAGACAATAAATACTGGAGATCAAAGGCAGAAACGAGGCCCCTGCATGAATCACTTGGCACTCAAGATTCCCCACATACAACCTGAGCATCATTTCCTGGCTTCTTCACAGCTTAAGCCAGAGGCCAGTGCACAGAATGTGTTTTATTAAGGAACCTGAGGTGTGATTCGTGCCTTTGTGAGTGGATTTTAGACTTTTTCCACTACAGGACATCTCTCTCACACTTCACTCCAAGTGCTTGGTCCTATACTCAGGCCCTGGAGATTGGGAGCAAAGCAAGGATGTTCCAGGGCCCACAGCTCAGTTAATTCTGAGATCAACAGCTCACCAAGGTCCCTCACTCTTTAGTGAGCAGCAATTAGTATCACAAACTAAGAATGCAGATCTGCAAAGGGCAGCCAGTGTTTTACACAAGGGAAGGTTGTAATGATGCAGGGTGTTCTCATCTGTGGTGTGAAAGCAGGAGGGACTCCCTGTTTCGTCTAATAATTGCTATTTACACACACTGTCAGAGTAAACAAGGCATTGCCAGCAGTGATTGGGGTTTATCTGACCCTCAACTGGGCAGTTTCTGCACTTGTTTCAAGCTGAAATCAGATTTGGCTGCTGGAGTCCTAACCTGTCTTTATTAACAACTGCAGAGAATAATAAGGCATATTTGGGCACTACGTACACCAAAGAGGCTGCTGAGTGAAACACTTGGCTTATCTTCACCCTTTAACATGCCCTGGAAATAGAAAAGCCAGCAGAACAGGCAGTGCCTCTCCAAGCTCTCACCAGTCCCTTCTAATTCTGGAGTTCACAGCCAGGCAGGTGAGAGACCTTTGTTACAGGTGCCTGAGCAACTGCTGCAATCATAAGCCCCGGTGATGCCAAACACTGTTTGCAAAGCTTGGAATCCTGAGAAACCACAGGGCTTGGTTTGTTTTTAAAGAAGAAAAAAAAAAGGTTGTTTGTTTGTTTGTTTGTTTTAGCAACAGAAACATTTGAAAATAGCACTGACACTCCCTGCTACTAAACCTGGGTGGTTTAAACTATCTGTTTAACAAACACAACTATGGTGTCACAGGTAAGAGAGAAAACTAGAGGGAGGGTATTTATTTTTTTTTCCTTTAGCTAACAACGAGAAAAACCCCAGCACCTAAAATTTAGGGGAAATAACAACATCGAGGGTGACTCTTCAGAGATCAGGAAGCATTGGAATGTTATGGAGGGAAAAGTGGCCCCTTTCCTGGTTCAAAACCTGTTACAAAAATTTCCCTCTGCTCCCTGAAAGAACGATTATAAAGACTTCAGGGAACATAATCATCAGCATCTCACAACAAGTGGCTGCAGAAGTCATCTCAGGATGCTATCAAGAATCAGTGCAGCATAGCCACGATCAGGAGTCATGATTTTGGCATGTCTATTTTCCCCCTCCATAAAACTATCCATTATCCATCGTGGGTATGCAAATCCACCCCAGGAGCACAGAGGAGGAGAGAGAATGAACTCAAATATCCCACTGAGTTATCAATCGTCTTCTGCCCCGACCTGCACTGCAAGGGGAGCACCTGTTAATTAAGCTTCCTGATAATTAAAGGCCCCTCAGCATCTTTCCCGTGGCTCCTTCAGGTCCTGGAAGGCCACAATCAGGTCAGCCCAAAGCTTCTCTTCTCCAGGCTGAACGATCCCAGTTTTCCCAGCCTTTCCTCCATCCCTCTGACCGCCCCGGTGCCTCCTCCGTGTCCTTCCCACGCTGGGACCCCAGAGCTGGACCCAGCACTGCAGGTGGGGTGTCCCCTGCTGACCCCTTCTCATCCCTAAATCCAAAAGCACTTGCACAGGGGACTGTGAGACAGGAAAACCAGGGTGTGCTGGGACCTGTGGTTTCCAGGGATTCGAGGGGAAAGGACACAACCAGCAGGCCCAAGGCAGAGACCACCAGGGCTGCTGAGCACCCTTATTTCACCCACAAAACTAAACCCTTAACCCTTCAAATGGGAGTTAGGCAATGACATATTACAGGGATTTCTCTACTGCACGTGTTTTATATGTGGAAAAAAAAATCATTGCAAGACTTTGAAGATTAAAAAAAAAAACAAACCCCAGTGTTGAATGTGAATTAGCAAGTTGTGCTCTCAGAGGTGGGAGCTGAGGCTCCTGCTTTTGCCACTCCAAAGCTTCCCGTGCCTGAGGAGGAAATGCAGCAGGATCCAGGATCCAGGGCTGCAGCTGCCAGGGCTGTGCTGGCTCCTGAGCCCAGGGCAGTCCTGGCCACAGGTCCCCCCCTCACACGCTGCTGTTGTCAATCAGCACAGCAAAACAGTCGGGGCAGAGCCTCAAAACTCAGCCCAGTGGCTCTGAAACTCCCCCTGGATTTAACCCTGAGCGCCACAAACACGGGGGTGACCGAGCACAGGGAGCCCCTGTGCTCCTGCTCAGCTTCCACAGGCTCTGCCTCTGCTTTTGGCACCTTTTCCTTTCCACACAGTGACAAGTAATTTACCCTTGGGCCACTTCCACCAAAAGCACAGGGGGAACAGAGAAGAACCTTTTATCACCCCCCAAAAAACACCTCAGTTGTTCCTGTGCCAGCACAGGGTGAGGCTGCACTAAGATTTTCACAAAACAGGTGATTTTCCCTCCACAGTTACCACTTTCCCTCTTTGTTCTTACGCAGAAACAAGCCAGGCTGTAATTCCTGAGAGGAAATGATCAGAACCAGCTCAGCAGACTCCAGCTCCCCCCACCCCAGCTCACACGGGAGCTGATCTCTGACCCCACTACAAAACACGCACCAAACTCTGCAACAAAAGGCTGCAAAGGGATTTCCGCCCAAACCCGCCTTTCCCAACCAACAAAACTCTCCCAAACGGGCGTTTTCTTTCCATATGGAACAATCCCACATAATTTCGGGGGGATGGGGGGGCAGACACAGAAAAGCACGACACGAAAATATCTGTCTACTTAAACTTCTCTCCCCCCCACCCCCTCTTTTCAAAGACATTTGCAGGGCTATGGAAATATCAGTTTTTCTCCATACGGGACGCACCCGCCCTTCGCTCAGTCCCTGATTTCCAACCCTTCCTCCCCACCGTGATTTCCACCCTTTCCTCTCGGTCCCTGATTTCCCTTGGATCCCCGCTTTCCAGCCCTTCCTCCGAGTCCCAATTCCCACCCCATTTGCCCCGTTCCCCGGTTTCCATCCCCAGCCCGGCCCCCTCCGGGCCCTCCCCGACCCCCGAACCCCCCGTGTCCCCCGCTCCTTACGTGCTTCAGGCACCGCTCCTTGAGCTTCTCCACCGTGGTGTCCTCGGGCACCTCCTCCAGCCACTCCGCGCCCTCCATGGTGCACACATGGACCCTCAGCACCTTCCCCGCGAAGATCTTCTCCTCCTGCACGAACATCTCTCCCGCGGTGCCGCCGCCTCACCAGGCCCGGGGCGGCGCGGCGCGCTGCCGCCCGCCCATGGAGGAGCCCCGGGCGGCCCCGAGCGCGGTGTCCGTGCCCCGGGCGGCCCCGGGCGGCCCCGAGCGCGGTGTCCGTGCCCCGGGCGGCCCCGAGCGCGCTGTCCCCGCCGCTGTCCCCGCCGGTGTCACCGCCCGGGCCCCGCCGCCCCTCCGGGGACACGGCGGCGCTCCCGGAGCCGGAACTGCCGCGGGGGGCGCGGGGCACGCCGGGAGTTGTAGTCCCGCGGCCGCGGGCGCCTCCAGAAGGGAGAGGACAGAACCACCAACACCTGGGCGCGTTGTTGAGCTTTTCAGCGCTTAGTAAACCCCTAACGCACTCCTAACAAACATTTGATACCCTTTGATAACGTTTGATAACGTTTTAATGACGTTTAACGACGTTGAACACCGTTTGTCGCTCTGCGGCGGCCCCGGCGCATTGTGGGACGGGGCGCGGAGGGGTCCCCGGCGCCGCCCCCGGTGCACGCCGGGAGTTGTAGTTCGTGGCCGTGAGGGCGCTCGGGGGGCCCGGGCAGCGATGGAGTGGGGGCTTCGCGGACACCTCCGGGGGCACCGGGGCGACCGAGGGGACCGGGCCAGCCCGGCGGGAACCTGCGGGCCTGGCGGGGGCCACCCCGCATCCCCCCTCCCGCCGTCAGGGGGGGCCCGCGAGCCGCCGGTTCCCTGCCCGCTCCCGTGGGAGTCAATTCCCGGCGAACGCGTATTGTTTGTTTATTTATTTTATTTGATTATTAAATTTTCTTTATTTTTTTTTTACATGCCGTGTTATTTATTATGCCTCGCTCCCGAGCCGCACCGACCGCTCGGCTTCAGGTCTCTCCAGGGCTGCGGAGCGAAGCCTCCCCGAGTTTAAATTCCCCGTTTATTTACATTAAAGCAGTAATGAAGCTGCTGGGTTTTTATGGATGTATTAAACGGAGCTGTTCTTGTCCTGAAAAATATGAGGAATATGTGATAGTTTCCTCCCCAGTATTCAGTGAGCAGCGCAATATTCATGTTACACAGCCTGGAGCTGGTGGAAGGGCTGAGCTCCTTATTCCTTGAGTTCCTGGAGGGAATAAATCCAGGCGGAATTGGCAGACCCGGAGACAAGAAAGCAATGAAGTGTTATGTGAGAAGGAGCTGAGGGCTCTGGAGAGCCAGCACTCCATCCCATCAAAAGGCAAGAGTTACTTTGGGGGTGTCAAACGCTGCTGCATCCCAGGGATGCGTCTCTGGGGGTCTTTGCCTTTATCCCGTGCTGGGCCAGCACCTTCCAGGGGCCAGACGGGGCGGTTTCCTTCCTGTTTTCCAAGGAATCCCATCGCTTTCTGCCGTGGCTCAGCCACCAGCTCCGGAGCCCACGAGAGGGAGCAAATTCCTGCTCAGCAAACCCCGCCGGCCTCTGGGAACAAGGACGAGAGTTTCCCTCCCAAAGACGTGTCCCTGGAGTGCCCACGGGGGTCCCACGAGGGGATGGGGCAGGTCCTGGGGGCAGTGGGGTGACCCCGAGTCCTGGATCCCAAACCCTTGTGAAGGCCAGGTACCAGACGCCAGACACTTCCCGGCCACCAAATCCACCCTGAGAACTCCTCTTTCCTTCTGCTTCCCGGCGTTTTTGCCTTCCCTGCTCCGTGGGGTGGGAGCTGGAAATCTGGACACCAACTCGGGAAGGCACCACTTGGTGCCCCCCAGAAGTCACTGCTGGGGAGAACAAGGATAAGGTTTTACTGGGAGATATTTTAAGCCAGCTGAGGAACACGGGATGATTTCCCAGCAGGTTAAATTCAGTGGTGAGCTCTTGGTGTGTGGAGGATGTTCCAATCCATAAAGGAGTTCTCAGCAGTCGCTGCTGCAAGGACAAGCAATATTTGGAGATGAATCTGGAGCTGAGGCAGGAAAAAAAGGAGATTTCTGCTCTCTGGATGTATCTCGAGTTGAAACAGTGCTTGCCTAACACAAGTGGAATACTTTATTTTCATGCTTTGAATGCAGCTCCTGTGTGCTTGATAAAATGGACCCATAAAATTGCAAATACAAGGCAATTTGACTACTGATGGCTAATGCATCATAACGGCCACGGGAATGGGAGCATTTAAAAATACCCCATTTAAACATGTGGCACTACCTCCTTGCCTTGCTCTACAGCAGAATAAATAAACAATATGTGTCTATTATGTTAATATTGTCCAAAGCCAAAAGAATGAGTGCACAATGTGCTACTTGCTTTTTATGGCCAATCCGTTACGGCCAGAGACCAACATGGGAATGAGAAAAGGGGGAATCAACAGCTCCTTTCCCTTGAGGAAAGGCTCCTTTTGTTCTACAACTCCAGGTGAATTATTTTCCGTGATTGATTCCAGCAGCAAAAACCTTCATTATCCAACCTTGAACTCCCCAGAAATGTTCCAGGCCTGGTTGGACGGGGCTTGGAGCAACCTGGGCTAGTGGAAGGTGTTGCTGCCTGTGGCAGGGGTGGGATGAGAGGGGCTCTAAGGTCCCTTCCAACTCAAACCATTCTGGGATTCTGGGATTCAAAGCAGGCAGGGGTGGGAGAAGGACCTGTGTCCCTCACAGCCATCAGTCTGTACCTCTCCTGGGTTGATTTCTTCCCTTGCAAGGACTCCAAGGAGCTTATTCCAGACCAACCAGTGCCGGCAGAGCGGGAACATCCAGTTCAGGAAAGTCCACACCAACAAACCCATAATACCTTTTAAATTGTCTGAGAGTGGGAGGAAGAAAAGAGAGTGAAAATTACACACAACCCCTTCCCCCCCTCCCCTCCCCAGATTTTCCTGGGCAATCACAGAATTTATCAGGACAACTCCTGTGGGATGCTCCATCATGTCATCCACGACTCGTGTATCGACTCCCTTCTCCCGCTGCTGCCGAGTGGAGAAATATGATAACGGGAGGGATAATGAAGCAGACATGCTTTCTCCAAATCAAACCCCTTCTCTCTTCAGCTGGGATAAAAGGGTAAAGAACTTCCCCTTCACGATATTTCTCTCAGTAATGTGTTTTGACAATTTAATTTAGAAGTCATAGAGTAGCGAAGACAAAGTCACCCGGTGGGTGGACACCGGCGAGTTCAGTTGCCTTTGTGATGAATTGGTGATAGTCCAGAGATGACAAAACAACACAGGGGGACAAGAGGGAGGCTGGCAGCACTGTCTGCAGCGTGCACAGGGTAAATTGAACGCTACACTTCATCCAGGAGCTCCAGCAGTCCCAGGCATCCCGACGTAATTTATGAACTGCAATTAGCATTTTATTACGGCTCGTGCCCGAGCCGCACCAATCGCTCGGGTTCAGGTTCTGCAAGAGTTGCACAGCAAAGTTTTCGTAAGTTTAAAGTACCTGTTTATTCAAATTAAAGCAATAAATGTGCTCAGGAGGTGGCTTTCCTGTTTTCCAGCTGCAGAGGTTGAGAGGGCGGGTTTCTTGCCGAGGTTCTTAGCGGCTCTGACAGCAGACACGTGTCCTGCCTGTGTTGGACAGCCTGCCCCAGGAATGCTGTGGGATTGCTGCAGGATCACCAGCAAAGCAGCCAAGGGGAAGCACCGGGATCTGTCTGGGCCCAACAGCCCCGGTTTGGGATCTCAGCTGTGCCCACCACCCAAGCTGGTGCCTCGCTGTGCCCCAGAGGAGCCCCTGCTCTCACTGCCCTCTGAGTCCTCTCTCCGTGTGGCTCTGAAGCCCCACAGGAGCTCCATCCTGATGATCCGAGGATGATGGCTCCCAAATTTGTTTCTCCTTTCCTGAGTCATGGAAACTTCTATCTTTGCCCCTTGGCAACTTCCCCAGCCAGGCAGCAGAGGAGCAACCACTCCTGCTCCTCCCCTCTCCACCCCAGCTGGGCAGCAGCGCCCCTCTTATTCCCCTGCCATGCAAACAGAGGAGAATCTTAAAAACCTTTCTGAAAAGAGCATCTGAAGTTGGAAACTGGAAGAATTGGTGGGCAATAACCATCAGGATGTCACTGCCAGAGCTGGTTCAGGACCCACAGCACCTCAGAACCCCCCTGTCCCAGCCAGCTTGGCCTGCAGTCCATACCCCAGTGGGGGGACAGGCAGATCTGTTGTACAATTTAACTCCAGGATCGCTCTGAAAGGCCCCCGACTGTGCTCCAAACGACTCTGCAGGCTGTTATAAATATACAAAGCTTTTTGTGGGGATATTCATGAAATTCTATCACCGCTTACCCGGGCTGGTAATGGCCTTGTTTATGTATGGGCTCTATACCTGGCTTTGCAGCCTCTCCAAACACAATTCCATTACGGTGTTTAACTGCTCTATCAGTGCAGTACTTAGCTCTCCCTGCTTCCCAGCACAGCTCCTTAATGGCCAGGGAAGGTATTAGGCGCTGCAGTTTGTGAGGATTCAAAAGAAAGTTCAAATCTCACAATGTCTTTATTTTAAAATTCATGGAATTTCTAAGTACCAACTTCTAAGCCATGACCAAATAGTCATTTCTTTCTTAAACAATCTTTTCTCCCCCCCCCACCTCTTTCTCCTCCACCAGTTAACTTGCTCTCACCAGCAGGACCTGCAGCTCTGCAGATGCCAATCCCTGCCTGTCCCACTGCAGGATCACCAACACCCTCGGGGTCCCCACCAGCCCTTTGGTGCCCAAGACCAGCCACAGGACACATCAGCCAGGGGGACATTGCTCTGGGGGCACTGGGGTGGTCACTCTGGGGGTTTCAAGGCAGTGTGGGGCAGGGGAGCAGCCATGCCCTCCCCGAGGAGCGCTGGGTGGGCAGATCCAGGGGGGAAAGAGAATTAGAATTTGGGAGATGTTTACAGGGATGTGCAGCCTCTGTGAGAGAAGGGCAGCAGGATCAGGCCACTGGGGGTGGCAGGAGCAGAAATCATCCCTCAAGTCGTTCCTCATCCTCACCTGTGACGGGGTGACCCGGCTGGGCAGTGCCACCACCCCTGCACCTCCCACCCCCAAACCTTTGCCATCAGTACATCAGCACTTTCCCTTTTGGCACTGCATGACCCAGTTCCCAGATTTCTTTCCTAAACTGAGAAGAAAACCCTTTCAACTTCGAATTTAAAGTCCCACTTCCCACAC